AAATTGACATTTAGTAACGAGTTGCAGCTCCTAACGATCAGCGTCAGCGTCATTAAGATAACTGTATTATCAAATCGTTTATGCATAGCGATTATGTCCGCTGTATGTCAAACCACATCAACATTAACCAAAGTTTACTTAAGTTGATCTATTAAATCAATAAACTACACATAAACCTCCATAAATTTCTTCTGATCCGATAGCGTGTAAATGCATTATCCGGTAATTTCATACGATGCCAGAGAGGCTGATGTCAAATTCCATTATAATCAGAAACTTCGAGGAGTTGTCGATAAATCCTCATCAATATATTAGTAACTAATCTGATTAACTTGCTCATCTTGATATCCGTAAGCATGATTCCGTTTCCTTTCGGATGTTTAAAAGAACCGCTAATCTTTCGAGGACAAAAACGAATCAAGTCCATTTTGTATACCCTGTTCTCCAGTAAGGCATATCCCAGATAATATTTTCTTCATCAATCAAAACAAATAGTAATCACACGGGGCAGGATGTGGACTAAACGGCGGGTGAAGCAAAACTTCCCAACCACTTCCTCGAAAAGTCCTAATCAATATATTAGTATCAAAGCCATATTGATATCTTTAAGCATGATTCCGTTTCATGTCGAAAGTTCAAAAAAACTGCTCATCTTTCGAACACAAAAACGATGTCAATTTCGGATACGCCATTCTGAAGTGAGTCAGAGAAAAGCTTTCAATCGAAATAAATAGTAATCGCATGGGGCAGGATGTGGACTAAACGGCGAGTGAGGCAAAACTTCCCAACCACTTCCTCGAGAAATCCTAATCAATATATTAGTAACAAATCTAGGATTAACTTACCCATCTTTATATTTGTAAGTTCAAATTAACTGCATATCTTTCGATACATAGAAAGAATCAAGTAAATTTCTGATACCCTGGTCTGAAGTGAAGCATATTTAAGAGAGAGATTTCTGCATCAATCGAAACAAATAGTAATCGCACGGGATAAGTTTTGGACTATAAGACGGGTGAGACAAAACTTCCCAACCACACCTTTCATATTGTTAGCTTTTATGTCTGGTGCACATTCTAAAGCTTGTTCTCTGACCTGGGAATCCTTAAGGTCCCACCAAATACAAAGAATTGCCATAACGCCATAGATAGCGATTCAGTAAGGCTTCACATACAACCTCTTACGTTTTATCCATATTTCATCACAAGTAATGATTCGGTACAAAAAAAGAGTTTCTTGAATAGCGTTCCACCAGCATTTCGGATATGAAAATCATATTTCAAGGTCTCTGGGCTACAATTTGCACGATATCCAATTACTCTGTTTTTTGAGAATCCTTCAGCTCGCAAAAGCTTTAAAATTGTTGCTCAATTATTCATACTGTAATGCCATCAATTCTTGGTTTTCAAACTTGTTTTTAGCTAATCTGGGCGATCTTTGTGTTTCGTGTCTAAGTCACCACTTCTGAAGGGCACAAAACATCTTTCACCGCTGAAACCGCCATATGTTTCATGTACACTTTTTTTAATTGAAGAATTAAAGCAAAACTTTTTACAAATGTATCCACTTCTTCCCGATATGTATAAGTATTAGAATTAACAAGTTCTCAGACCTTTAGATAGTGACATCTTAAATGCAACAAAGCTATATACACTTGCAGCCATTAGTCAAGATATCAAATTAGTTCTCTGGTATTATTCTGCAGAATATCCATTCGACGAAAAGTTAATTTGTAATATAACAGAAGATTTAAAAGTTTGGCATAATTTCAAAACCCCTTTAAAAAATTTTGCTGGGTTTATTTCGCTCACTACCCTTAATTTTATAAAAAATAATACCGTTTGCCATTTTCATTGTAATTTGAAATTAAACAGGCATCATTCATATTTAATTTTTTACAATTATGTAAATGACCACTACCCCTAAAGCGGAATACCTATAAGGGAACATAATGTTTAAAATTGTTTTCTATTCACAATTTTTATAGTTCAAGTTTTTTTACTTTTATGCATTTGACTTAAAACATCAACGTTCAACTTTTTTTCAATGATGGCAAAACGAGTTTAAGAAGTAATTCAACAGGCTTTTCATGTTCAACTAAAGGGAGTTTGTATACATATTGATTGAGAAAGTTTACTAATAATACCAGTTTTTTGTTGCTGTTGAGTTGCAGGGATTTTTTATGGTTTATTATAAAAGAATTTCTCTACAATGTATTTTTTTGTCATACAGCATTTTAAGCACTTTAAGGTTAATTGATTTAAATTGTTCATTAAGTGTATTATTCTGTAAAATTTCGATTCTTTCTCAGGATAATGAAGGAGTTTTCTTACCGAACAGGATCGAAATTGACAGACTCTGGTGGCTATGTTGTTTTTTTTTTTTTTTTTTGAGTTACTGATGCCAAATATACATGGCAGCAGGACAACGTTATCATGATCAATAATGATCAAGATCAATGGATACAAAATTCAACGATATGGAACGACGCCTTCAACAAGAAGACTCGCCAATTTCCTTTGAATTTAATTTACTTAAAGTTCTCATAATCGTGGTTGCCTTAGGTGATATAAATTGTATATTAAGATTGCGTGATTTGTTGCGTCTAAACATGTGATGGGTTTTCTAATTTGAACGTCTATGCCAATTAGCCGCCTTCTACTGATCTTCTTGCTCATGGAGCTCCTTGATTACAATCAATTAATTCAAGCGATATGACAAAGGCCTTTTGGTTGCAATAGGAAGACGTCTGTAAGACTTTAGACCTGGATTACTGTGGCTATCCTGTGAAAATTACAGAACTTTACCACTTTGATCTTGTGATCGTGATCTTCAAGCTCTTCTAGCTCTAGACTCAAAAGTAATATAATTCTGGAGGAGTATAATTTATTTATAAAGGAAAGGTGTAGACGGGTCACTTTTTCCTGTGAAGATTTTCATAATTTCCTCGTTTATGCCTTCAGCTGATATTCGAATTGGAGCTCCTGGATTGGATTCAATTGATATAAACGATATGTCAAAGACATTGTGGTTGCAATAGGAAGTTGCCTCAACGATTTTTGCATGTGGTTACCAGTGCCGAAAATATGGTTATCTCTGGTGAAATTGACGTAAATTTAGATCTTGTGATCGTATTCCGCTTAATCTTTTCTACGCCAAAAAAAAAAAAAAACTGCAATCAGTTGATAATGAGGTGACATTAATTGTATGATTTAACTCGTTTAGGCTTTTTCATGTGACGGTTTTTCTAATTTACACGTTCGATGCCAAGGCGGCTAACTTCTGCTAATGTTCTTGCTCGAACTGGAGCTCCGAATTTGGATTCAATTTGAACGTTTCCAAAGGCCTAATTGATCTAATAGAAAGTTGCATAAGCGATTTATCAGGGTTATAAGTGGCGACAATACGATTTTCTTTGCGGTAAACTGATCACTTAAACCTTGTTATTGTATTCCGCTTGAACTTTTCAATGCACATACATAAATTGCAATTAGCTGATCGGTCCAATATTAAACTTGTTGTTAGGGTCCAATTTATGTCTGGAAGTGGTGACATAAATGGGAGCCTAAGATTGTATAATTTGATCCTTCTAGACTTTTTCTTGTGAAAGGTTTTCTTATTTTCTCCTCCTTACCAATCAACTGCTTTCAATTGGTCTACTTGCTCGATTGGGTGCTCCCGTATTTGATTCAATGGATTTCAAAGATATGGCAAAGGCCTTGTGTTTCCAATAGGAAAACTCAGTTGCACCAGTAGACCAATTAGCCGCCAGTTTATAACATTTTAACATTTATACCCCCTTTTAGAAAAGTCGAATTATTAACTGCAGAATATGACGCCCACAGGGCTTAACATATTTACCGACAGCCAGAACGCAATTAGGGCGATTTCAGATGATAATGTTAAATCTAAGACCGCATTGGATTGTAAAAAGCTCTAACCGAATACTCTCCCAGAAGTAAGGGATACATCATATGTGTACCAGGCCACTCGGGAGTAGTCGGCAATAAAAGAGCGAATGTAATAGTTTTAAAGGGAAGGGAGCTCGAAGTAGTTAACTTGACGAACGAGATATTATTTGACGCAAAGAGGGCAGAATTAAAATTATGGGTGAGAGAAACCCATAAGGTCTTCTGGAATAAAGAAATCATGGGTAGAACTGTAAAGTTCCTAAAGGGTGACCCTAACGAGAGCAGAACGAGATGCCTCCTCAAAATGAACAAGTCTGAGGTTAGTATTAGTGGTACGTTTTCTGAGCGGATACATAGGATTAGGGGCACATCTATACAAAATTGGACGTGCAGATTCAGACGAATGTAGAGCATGTGGAGAGGACAGTGAAACTCTGCAGCACTTTCTTTGCCAAATATCTTGGGAGTGAATATAACATCACTCACGAAGTTACGTCCAGGAAACTGAGTTTCTGAACATCGGACAATAATACATTTAGTGAATACTAAGGTTTTTGTTTTTATCAACAAACATTTTCCATGAAAAGGAGCGTACAACAGGCCCGTTAGTGGCCTAGGTATATTTCTTCGGATTTGATGTAGCTACATCCTCCTAACCTAACCCTAATTGAAGAAGGATGAGAGCAAACCTCTTGTCTTTTTGAAAATTGGTCTTAAGATTTCAGGAAAATTGAGAAGTGATACTATTTTGATCTGGGTTGAGATTTCAGTAAATTGATCTTGTTACAGTGATCTGGCTTACAACATTTTAAACTAAATATTTTCTTTTTAGTCGAGCCATATTAATTTATTATTAAATTATTAATCGAGCCTGACAGACTCGAGTTCAAAACCTACCAGAAATAATATTTGCAAGATCGGCGGCATAGGAAACAGGTTATATTTCAATTTTGTTCTGTAGACTTATTATTTAATGAGTGAATTAAAATGTTTATTAGATAATAATTCTCTTAGATACTAAATACATAATAACATTTCTACGAATAATCAAATTTAATTTAAAATTATACCAAAAAAGAGCACACTTACCAAATTTATTTAATATTTAAATGAAATCCTTAATGGTTGTTGAAAATGTTGCTTTCAATTACAATTGTTTAAAACTAACACTTCAATTAATTAAATTCACAATTTCTTTTGCATATATTAGATTTGAAATGTAGATTTTAACACTTCAATTATTTAATGAATTTATTAAATTTTTTTTATACACAGTTGTTATTTATTAAAGTTTAACAACACACATGTATAACTATGTATTTTTTTATTATTTAAATTTTTTTATTAAACTTTTGCACTTGTTTTTTTTATTAAATCTGCATATTTTTTTATACTTTTTTTAAATTGTTGCTTTTTTTTTTTTTTTTTGCTTGTGATAGTAATAGATGAATAGACATTAATCAGTAGTAATATTTTTTTAATATTTTTTATATATTTTTTAACTTAACTGTTATCAATTGTATATTGAATTATAACCAACAGCTGTTTATTGAAAGTAATTTCGTTTTTTTTTTAATATTTCATTGATAATTAATTTTTTTTTATATGAGAATTTTGTTATAGATCTTATTTTATTAATGTTAGTTAATTAGTACAATTAAAACCTGAAAATATTAAAAAAATAAAATAAAATTAATAAAACAGATAAAATTAAACGTAATGTTTTCAATTATATATTTAGTTTCTTTTTAAAAAACGTCAACTAGACATTTTCTAAGAATTAAGAAAATATGACTAATAATAATAAAAAATAATTGTTTGTAATATGAGTGTCTAGTTATTTAGAAAAAAAATATAAATTTTGTTGACGACAAGTTGTCTAACTAAGTTAATCATTTTTCATAAAAACCACTGACCCTGAGTTAGTTTTATTCGTTGCAAGACAACAAACCGCACATTAAATTAACTTAACGGCAAAAAAAAAATTGAAAACAAAATTAGATTCTTGTAGATGACAGACCGACTTGTGCAACCTTAGTTAAGTGTCATAATAAATATGCAGACAACATGCAAAAATGTTTCCAATATTGTATATTTTCTTAAAGTTATGTAATATGGATTATTGCGGAGTCGTTTAATCGGGAGAGTTCAAAATGTGTATATCAATATGTCGGAGAGAATAATTGGAATGTTAAGGATTCACTTATCTCTACTCTACATTTCGATTATATTCCCGCATTCAGTTAAGCCAAGGAAAAATGTTGTTCTATTTCAATTCCAGTCTAGTTTTATTTAAATCCTAGTTCTAGTTTAGTTCTAGTTCAGTTCTAGTTCAGTACTAGTTCAGTTCTAGTTCAGTTCTAGTTCAGTTCTAGTTCAGTTCTAGTTCAGTTCTAGTTCAGTTCTAGTTCAGTTCTAGTTCAGTTCTAGTTCAGTTCTAGTTCAGTTCTAGTTCAGTTCTAGTTCAGTTCTAGTTCAGTTCTAGTTCAGTTCTAGTTCAGTTCTAGTTCAGTTCTAGTTCAGTTCTAGTTCAGTTCTAGTTCAGTTCTAGTTCAGTTCTAGTTCAGTTCTAGTTCAGTTCTAGTTCAGTTCTAGTTCAGTTCTAGTTCAGTTCTAGTTCAGTTCTAGTTCAGTTCTAGTTCAGTTCTAGTTCAGTTCTAGTTCAGTTCTAGTTCAGTTCTAGTTCAGTTCTAGTTCAGTTCTAGTTCAGTTCTAGTTCAGTTCTAGTTCAGTTCTAGTTCAGTTCTAGTTCAGTTCTAGTTCAGTTCTAGTTCAGTTCTAGTTCAGTTCTAGTTCAGTTCTAGTTCAGTTCTAGTTCAGTTCTAGTTCAGTTCTAGTTCAGTTCTAGTTCAGCTAGTTCCTAGTTCAGTTCTAGTTCAGTTCTAGTTCAGTTCTAGTTCAGTTCTAGTTCAGTTCTAGTTTAGTTCAGTTCTAGTTCAGTTCTAGTTCAGTTCTAGTTCAGTTCTAGTTCAGTTCTAGTTCAGTTCTAGTTCAGTTCTAGTTCAGTTCTAGTTCAGTTCTAGTTCAGTTCTAGTTCAGTTCTAGTTCAGTTCTAGTTCAGTTCTAGTTCAGTTCTAGTTCAGTTCTAGTTCAGTTCTAGTTCAGTTCTAGTTCAGTTCTAGTTCAGTTCTAGTTCAGTTCTAGTTCAGTTCTAGTTCAGTTCTAGTTCAGTTCTAGTTCAGTTCTAGTTCAGTTCTAGTTCAGTTCTAGTTCAGTTCTAGTTCAGTTCTAGTTCAGTTCTAGTTCAGTTCTAGTTCAGTTCTAGTTCAGTTCTAGTTCAGTTCTAGTTCAGTTCTAGTTCAGTTCTAGTTCAGTTCTAGTTCAGTTCTAGTTCAGTTCTAGTTCAGTTCTAGTTCAGTTCTAGTTCAGTTCTAGTTCAGTTCTAGTTCAGTTCTAGTTCAGTTCTAGTTCAGTTCTAGTTCAGTTCTAGTTCAGTTCTAGTTCAGTTCTAGTTCAGTTCTAGTTCAGTTCTAGTTCAGTTCTAGTTCAGTTCTAGTTCAGTTCTAGTTCAGTTCTAGTTCAGTTCTAGTTCAGTTCTAGTTCAGTTCTAGTTCAGTTCTAGTTCAGTTCTAGTTTAGTTCACTTCTAGTTCAGTTCAGTTCTAGTTTAGTTCACTTCTAGTTCAGTTCAGTTCTAGTTCTAAGTTCGTTACACTTGTATCGAATTAGATAGAAGTTTATTAGTCTTAGCCAATTTCTATGGTCGAATCGAAATTAGTTAAAAATATAAAATGAACTATAAACATAACTATAATTTTTCCAGTTAAAAAGTTCACTGAAGTCGTTCTATTTGTATCAAAATATTGCTTGTAGACCCCTTGAAATTCTAAAGTTTCTTCAAGGAATAACGTTTACACTCTGAACTGGTTCTTAAATTAACTTTTTTTATTGATCACTACTTATTTGTTAACACACCAAGATTTTAAAAAAAATACCAAAAATGTTAACATTTATTAACAGCAAAATCCAGTTGACAACACTTTTGTTTTCATTTTATAACCAACTTTAAAATATTTGCCTTTAACATTTTTTGTTTATCTACACAACGTATGATCATTATTCATTTTATTTTTTTCTAAATAAATAACTTAACAAAATTAGCTCTCTTTATAATTTAAAACCCCAAAACAACAACAACACCAACTTAAAATATTGATAACATTATGAAAAGTGTTAAAAAAGAAAAATGCACAATAAGCAATAAACGCAAAGAAAAACAAATAAATAAAATTAATGGACACAAATTAATAACTGACTCGACATTTAAATGACAAATAGAGATGATTATAAAATAAATTTTTGTTGTTATTGTTGTTATGGGCCCGCCAAAAAAAAGGTCTTTAATCTATAAACAATAAACAAATAAAAATTGTATTTGAAAACTCTTAACAAAAACTTCTTGCACACTCACACTAAATAATAAAGGAAAACTACATTAAAGGTGCAAAACTATTAAATTGAACGATATAACGAATAATAAAAAGCAAACAAACAAGAAAAAAGATAAATAACCAAAATTTTCTATAGATATTTAGTATGTTTGATTTTTTTTCTAAACAGACCGGTTTTTATTAGAAACAAAAACACTAAAAATAAATAAACAAACAAATAATTGTTTTATTGACACAGACCGACAGACCGTCTAAACAAACTTATTTTAACTGACCGACTCTCTGGTGATCGTCCAAATAAATAAACAAACAAACAGAAGAAATGTATAAAACAGAAGTAAAATAATAATAACAATAACAACAACAACTAACCAAAACAAATACAACGTGTTTCCGCACATTAATTTTTTGGCTGCTTATTATTACTATGTATTTTGCGTTTAGTAGTTTGTTAACTAACTGCTCCAAAAAAACTATGTTTTTTTTTAGCAATTTATATTATTTAAGTTGTTTTTGCTTTTTTGCAAGATGCACTTAAATTACAACCACAGACAATAAAAAATTTATTGTTACCATGACTTATCAGCAAATTTATTAACACACACTTTATTATATTTCCTTTACACTTTTCTCTAGTTTTTTTTTCACATATTTTGTTTATGCCAAAAAAAGTTTGTTTGTTAAACAAACTTCTTGTTTTATTTAGTTTAATACACTGCGTTTAAAAAACAATATCTAATTGCCACTAAAATTTTCTTTCCACCGGTATTTACGTCCGTTTTACGCCAAGAACTCGAAGAAACTAATTTTAACATTTTGTTTTGATAACCAGTAAGGTTAATTTAGCTACTTTTTGGGCAATGTTAGCGTTTTTGCAGAGAATTGAGCGCGGAAAGAATATTATAGAATTCTAGCGATTTATTTAGTGTTACCATATGATAAGCAATTGTAGCTATTTTGATGTTCGTTACAGTTTAAATGACAAAAACTATGTATTTGAAAAATTTTTTATATATTTTTTTTAAATTATGAACTTTTGACAAGCAGTCTATAATCTAGTCTACAGTCCAGTCTACAGTCTAGTCTATAGTCTAGTCTATAGTCTAGTCTAGTCTATAGTCTAGTCTAGTCTATAGTCTAGTCTAGTCTATAGTCTAGTCTATAGTCTAGTCTATAGTCTAGTCTATAGTCTAGTCTATAGTCCAGTCTATAGTCTAGTCTAGTCTAGTCTATAGTCTAGTCTATAGTCTAGTCTATAGTCTAGTCTATAGTCTAGTCTATAGTCTAGTCTATAGTCTAGTCTATAGTCTAGTCTATAGTCTAGTCTATAGTCTAGTCTATAGTCTAGTCTATAGTCTAGTCTATAGTCTAGTCTATAGTCTAGTCTATAGTCTAGTCTATAGTCTAGTCTATAGTCTAGTCTATAGTCTAGTCTAGTCTATAGTCTAGTCTATAGTCTAGTCTATAGTCTAGTCTATAGTCTAGTCTATAGTCTAGTCTATAGTCTAGTCTATAGTCTAGTCTATAGTCTAGTCTATAGTCTAGTCTATAGTCTAGTCTATAGTCTAGTCTATAGTCTAGTCTATAGTCTAGTCCAGTCTAGTCTAGTCTAGTCTAGTCCAGTCTAGTCTATAGTCTAGTCTAGTCTATAGTCTAGTCTATAGTCTAGTCTATAGTCTAGTCTATAGTCTAGTCTATAGTCTAGTCTATAGTCTAGTCTATAGTCTAGTCTATAGTCTAGTCTATAGTCTAGTCTATAGTCTAGTCTATAGTCTAGTCTATAGTCTAGTCTATAGTCTAGTCTATAGTCTAGTCTATAGTCTAGTCTATAGTCTAGTCTAGTCTAGTCTAGTCCAGTCTAGTCTAGTCCAGTCTAGTCTATAGTCTAGTCTATAGTCTAGTCTATAGTCTAGTCTATAGTCTAGTCTATAGTCTAGTCTACAGTCTAGTCCATAGTCTAGTCTATAGTCTAGTCTATAGTCTAGTCTATAGTCTAGTCTATAGTCTAGTCTATAGTCTAGTCTATAGTCTAGTCTATAGTCTAGTCTATAGTCTAGTCTATAGTCTAGTCTATAGTCTAGTCTATAGTCTGGTCTATAGTCTAGTCTATAGTCTGGTCTATAGTCTAGTCTATAGTCTAGTCTATAGTCTAGTCTATAGTCCAGTCTATAGTCTAGTCTATAGTCTAGTCTATTGTCTAGTCTATAGTCCAGTCTATAGTGTAGTCTATAGTCTAGCCTATACTCTAGTCTATAGTCTAGTCTATAGTCCAGTCTATAGTCTAGTCTATAGTCCAGTCTATAGTCTAGTCTATAGTCTAGTCTATAGTCTAGTATATTTTGTTTTTTTTTGAAACTGTGACAGACGGTGACAAGTTCTTGAATATATTTAAAAAAAATCCATTACAAAATCACTAAATAAAAATCGAATAAGAAATGTAAACATCACTGTTTATAACATGTTAACAGTTATTGACAAAATATGAAATTAACAGAAACACTATTATCATGTATACACATTGTACGATAATAGTGTTTGTGTTTAGGCAGTGCTTAATTGGATACATTATTATCGTAATAAGTTGTACGTTATGTATACACCATTGCAAAGTTTGTTGTAAGAAATTGTTTATAAGATTTTAAACAGATTACTATGCTAATACTATAATGCTTTAGCATTAAAACACAATTAGTATTTTAAAAAATTTATTTCTGTATTAAATACATGTATAAATAGTATAAAAAATCTAGTACTAGGTAAATCAACACCAAATAACTTAAATTTTACAATTTAGCTTGCAGCAACTCTTTCAAATGAGTATCGAAAACTCGGTTGACAGGTTCTTGATTTAATTCACATTTGCGGGCCTCCTCCATAAGACGTTCATAGGCACGACCATCATAGCAACCTAAAGTAGAACCTAAAACACGATCATGAAACTCAAAACCATCAACTAAAACCACAGCATTTGGCCTGAAAGCCACTAGCATGTCCTCATAAAGTCTTTCTACTTGTTCGATTTCTTTGGCAGTTATTGAACGGTTAAAACGTAAAATATCATCCAAACTTGTTAGGAATAATTCCAAGATAAAGATATGTAGCAGCTGCTGCATAACCGGTTTTAAGCTATCATTGATTTTCCCCTTATCAGTCTGTAAGTTAATCTCTTCGTAAGCCATGCGCGCCAAAAAAGCTTTACCATGCATTATGGCAGTTTGTGTTAATATCAGACCAGCCCTGTTGGCTCCCTTTTGTGCCGTTTTGTCTGGTTGCGCTTTAGTAAAAGATCTTTGTTGTAAGAAAACATATTTAACACGTTCCAAAGAGGTGTATTCCAAAATTTTTACTATAGTTTCTAAATTTAAAGACCATTTATCTTGACCACTGGTACGCAAGTATACCACGGATTTGGGCAAATATTTACGTCTAATACCTTCCTCAAAATATTTCACCAAAAATCTAGCTGTTTGTAGTAAAAGTACTGTATTTTCTCCTTCATATGTGCAAGCTGCAGTTGCAGTGCCGTAAATGGCCACAAAGTTGGCAGAATTTAAATAGCCATGACCACCACATGATTTCCTCAATGTCTCTACACCTTTGGCAGACTCGTGTGAACAAACGGCTTTTAAGCAGCAGGATAAAGCATGTAATTCGGGTAGATTACGTTTATTACCCTGTTCGAGTTCCTTGTGTACTGTACGATAGAGCTCCCATACATAGTCTGCTGCTAGACGATAGAATATTCCCTTAGCGATTTGAGGGAATACTTTATGCTGCTGAGTTAGAAAATCTAGTACTTGTATTTCTTTTTGCGGGGAAGAGGACTCGATACCTTGGCGGCGAATGGCAGAATATCTGTTAAGGAAAATGTAGACATTTTATAATTTACTGGATAAAGACTTTTTATCTATTTATCTATCTATCTATCTATCTATCTATCTATCTATCTATCTATCTATCTATCTATCTATCTATCTATCTATCTATCTATCTATCTATCTATCTATCTATCTATCTATCTATCTATCTATCTATCTATCTATCTATCTCAATACTCACCTAGTAGCAATTACCGCCGCTTGCAGTAGGTTAAACGAAACATCTTTAACGATATTTACGCGAACATAGGACATGGTGCTGTACAACATCACAGGTTCTGGACCCTTGACAAAAGTACCATCGGCCAACACTTGATTATGCTTCGACAGCATTTGCTTCAAAGGTATGCGAACATTTTTCAAACCCAAAAAACCATTATTGACCCCATTAACACCAAGTTTCGGGCCAATATCGCCTACATCTACGCCAGGTTCAGGTTGATGAGTTTTCTCATTACGTATACGCACCAAAAACGGTTGTAGACCATAATGTTTGTCCTTTATGTATAACTGGGCCATGAGTATAACCATATTTGCGGTATGACCCAAACCGCCGGGCCACCATTTATAGGCGGTTAATGAGGGTGTATTTAGAACAAACTCCTGTTTATCAATATCATAATCAGCTCTCGTTTCTAAACCACGTAAATAAGTACCATGACCCAATTCGGTTTGAGCATAGGTGCCAATAATACCCTCCATATTCCAAGCTTTCTCTAACCACTCACGACATTGCTCCTCATTGGACTGACCCAGGAGAGCCGTTAAAAACATGGAGAAATGTAAACGTAAGGGAAAATTTTGTTGAAACAATCCCGTACCCAATGGGCCACTAAGTAACGAACGAAACAAATACATATCCTCTATAGATGTTGTCGTAACACCCTGCTTCTTTTGCTCCTCCCTATACCATTCTCTTAGTTTTTGTATAACTTTCATAGACTTTGCCGTAGTGTACTCATACAGTTGTTTGTGTGTGAAATTCATAATATCTTTAGGATCATCAAATTGTGGATCGTCAAAGAAAAGCTTTTCCAAAGCTCTACGCTTGTAGAGTTCATCTTTACCGCCCGACCACCATACAGCAAAATCTTCACTCTTTATTGTGGCATTTTGTCGTTCTTTTAGCAGATCATTGTTTACCGTCATTATCAGAGAGATTGTTGGATAGTCGATCGTTTATAATTTGTTTATAAATAAAGTAAAAAAAGTAAACAAGTAATTGCAAAAAAAAATAATTTGTTTATTTCTGCGTTTTTTTTTTTTTCACAAAATAGAACTTTGCTCTTTCGCTTTCAGCAAACAACTGTTGATAGTCGTTTCTTTCCATAACCGAATTGCATTTCGAAGAGCTCTTATCAAAGACAGACAGACGTTTATGTGTGAGGCTAACATGTATGCATTGTGGAATAAAAATATATATTTTGCGGCAAAAATATACATATGTATGTATGTACGTATATAATAAAAGAAACCTGCTCTTTGGAACATGTGTTGCAATAAATGTTTTTGCACAACTTGAAATATAAACAGTGAAATCTCAATATTCTTTAAACTAGTCTATCGACTATTCTATAGAATAGTATATTAACTATTCTATAGACTAGTATATTAACTATTCTATAGACTAGTCTATTAACTATTCTATAGACTAGTCTATTGACTATTCTATAGACTAGTCTATTGAATATTCTATAGATTAGTCTATTGACTAGTCTATTGACAATTCTATAGACTAGTCTATTGATTATTCTATAGACTATTCTATAGACCATTCCATAGGCTAGTCTATTGATTATTCTATAGACTAGTCTATTGATTATTCTATAGATTAGTCTATTGAATATTCTATAGACTAGTCTATTGATTATTGTATAGACTAGTCTATTGACTATTCTTTAGACTAGTCTATTGACTATTTTAATAGACTAGTCTATTAACTATTATGTAGACTAGTCTATTGACTTTTGTCTATTATAGTCTATTGACTATTCTATAATCTAGTCTAGACTATTCCATAGACTAGTCTATTGACTATTCTATAGACTAGTATATTGGGTAGACTATTAACTAGATCATTAACCATTTTATTGACTAGACTATTGCCTTGTGATTTGACAAGACTATTTACTTGTCTGTCTATTGACTAGACTGACTGACAAGTCCATTGACTAGACTATTGACTAGACTATTAACTATTCTATTGACTGTTGACGATACTATTGACTAGACTATTAACTGGTCTATTGAGTGAAACATTGAGCTGTCTAGTACAGTATACAGAATAGTTTATTGACTATTCTATAGACTAGTCTATGGACTAGTCTATTGACTAGACTATTGACTATTCTATTGAATAGTCTATGTATGTATGGATTGGTCTATTGACCATTCAATAAACTAGTCTGTGGACTAGTGCATTTAATAATGTATATTGAGCTGTCTAGTACAGTATACAGACTAGTCTATTGACTATTCTATAGACTAGTCTATTGACTAGTCTATGGATTAGTCTATTGACTAGACTATTAACTATTCTATTGAATAGTTTATGTACTAGTCTATCGACTACACTATTAAGTAATCTATTGACTTGTCTATGGATTGGTCTATTGACCATTCAATAAACTAATCTGTGGACTAGTGCATTGAATAATTTATAGACTTATCTATTGATCAATCTATTGATTAGTCCACTGACTGACTAATCTATCGTAAAATGAATGAATTAGTCCATTAACTGACTAATCTATGATAAAATCTATTGACTAAACCATGGAAATTCATTAAGAAATATTAAAAATTTATTTTATGGCATTTTAGTTTTGTTTAATTGAGCTTTATTTATTAAAGTTTTTGTTCAAAGAGAAAATATAAATGTTATTTAGTAATAATAAGAATAATATAAGTAGTAAATATTATGGATGTTTTTTTTTTTTTTTTTTTTTTGTAATGCTATAGCAAATAGTTTCAAATGTTTTACATATTAAGTAAAAACAAACAACAAAAATTAAAAAGTTATTTTGTTTAGATATAATAATGAAGTTAAGTGAACATAATAAAAACATACCGACAAAATCCAGAAAGAAGTTAACGAGTACGAGAGGTCATTTTGAAGTTTGTGTGTGAGTGGGTGTTAACGTTGTCCTAAAGGCAGGGCAGGGACGTTTTGAGAAAAAATATTTCAATTCCAGAAGTAACGAACGAAATAAACTAATTGTGAATAAATCCTGAAGGGCAGCGGATTAGTTGTTGGAAATGAAATCCAATTTGGCTTTTTTTTTGCAGAAAAATTTTTTTTTTTTTGAAGAAATGTTGCCTTTGAGTTATTTTTTTTTTATAAAGAGAGGGTTAAATAATTGTTTAATCCATAGGGAGAATGAGTTTGATTTATATATTTTTTATATATATAAGAACAATAATTGAGATCCAAAACTGTTTATAAGAGAAGAAATCCACGTTGAAATATCCTCCCACGCTGTCCTAATACTCAATGGTAAAGTGTTAATGAAGGTCCAGAAAAGAAAAACACCTATAAAACTTACAAATTAATGCGGACAAATATACTAAAATCCTGCTGATCCTCCCACTCCTCCAGTTTATGAAATTTATATTCATATGAAATCCTTGAAGTTTTGAATTTGAAAATATTTAATTCCATTTAACAAAATCCATTAGAGTTTTTTCTTTCCTTTTTTTAATCCATATTTTTTTTTTTTTTTTCTCTAAAAATCCTTTCAAGTGAATTATGTCCAATAATTGCAAATCCATTTTTTCCTTTTTTTCAAATCAAATCCTTATATCCGTTTTTTTAATAACATTCTATTAATCCTCCTTTACTCCTTCCCTCCAATTCCAAATAACATTTCCATCCATTTGAAGAGGAAAGAGAAGAAAAATTAAGAAAAAAAATCATTATTAATATATTTTTATACATAATTTAGTTGAATGATTAAACATATTTATTAAATTGTTTTTTTAATAATTTTTGGTAATTAAAAAATATGTTAAAAATGGTTGAATTTTTTAGGTGGTTATTGGTTATTATGGTAAATCCCTTTAACAAGGAAAGAATAAGAATAAACTAACTCGTTGTTAAGTAAAGTTTTGCTTTCAAAAGTCTTGTTTCTTTCCCTGTTAATGGGTTTCTAAATAAATTAAAAATTTCTCATTTTAATTTGTTTTTATTATTTTTTTTTTTTTTTTTTTTTTTTTTGTAATAAAAGAATTTTAACAAAACAAATTGTTGTTATTATGTTAAAAAATCAAGGAATGTTAAAAAACAAATCTATTCAAAGACCACAGTTGAGCTAAATTATTGAGAAATTGTTTGTCAACCTTGATTTTTTTTTTTCTTTTTTTTTTGCTGTTTCTTTAAACTCTCCATTAAGTTAATTAAAAGTAGAGAAAAATTAAAAAAAAACAAAGCTTCTTGCATAAAAAACGAAAATGCTATTAAAACAAAAACAACTCGTTTTAGTTAAAAAAAGCCTTTGATTTCTGGGTTAATAAGAAAATATATGTAATAAATAAAAAAAAAATCTTAATATATTAAAATATTTCAGAAAAAAATTAAAGACAATTTTTTGTTTATTTGCCTTTCTAAGCAAAATTGTAAGAATGTTTTAAAACGTTTAAATGTTTTGGTGACTTTTGTATTATTAAATTAAATTAAATTTGTTTTGTTTTTTACTCTTGTGTGGTTTTCTTAATGTTTTAAAAATACGTTTCTTAAGTTTTTCTTCCAAATAATGTTTGAGTTGCTAAATTTTACTTTTTTGTTTCTTTTGTTGTAACTTTAGTTAGTATGTTTTTTTTTTTTGCATAATGTTTAGTTTTGTGTTATTTTAAAAGTTCGAACGAGATCGTGACCTTGAAAATGTTTGTCGACGTACTGGCGAATATGTTGGTGATCCACGTCTTCGGGGACGTGGTGAGAAGGAACGTGAACGTGACCTATTAGGTAAATAGAATATAGAATTAATATTAATTTAATATAAATAAAGAGAACTTAAAAAAATAAATAGTTTTAACAAATAATATGTTACCTGACACCCATGCCGCCACGTCCAAAATCTCTTCCGCCCATGCCGCGATCTCCATCGCCACAATCCTCACGTACACGTATATACGATACTTCACCCTAAAGGAAAGAACGGAAATAATAAATGAAATTAATATTATACAACGTTTTAGAGTTAATTCAATTAGTTTTTGGTTGTGGTGCAAACAATTATTATTAATAAATAATTAAGTTTCGCATACATACAAACATTTGACAATTCAATTAAGGCAGGAGGGGAATTATCAAGTTAGAGTCCTATATTATACTACGCCGAATCTTAAATACCCTTTACCTATATATAAGCTAGATTTTTATAAAGTCTTCGAATATTTATAGAAATTTACATTTTATAAACTTTAAAATCTTAAATTTGGTTTCCGTAATGACAATTATGGATCATGTATTATTTGGCTAGTCAATAGACTAATCTAGAACTGAACTAGAACTGAACTAGAACTGAACTAGAACTGAACTAGAACTGAACTAGAACTGAACTAGAACTGAACTAGAACTGAACTAGAACTGAACTAGAACTGAACTAGAACTGAACTAGAACTGAACTAGAACTGAACTAGAACTGAACTAGAACTGAACTAGAACTGAACTAGAACTGAACTAGAACTGAACTAAACTGAACTAGAACTGAAATAGAACTGAACTAGAACTGAACTAGAACTGAACTAGAACTGAACTAGAACTGAACTAGAACTGAACTAGAACTGAACTAGAACTGACCTAGATCTGAACTAAAACTGAACTAGAACTGACCTAGATCTGAGCTAGAACTGAACTAGAACTGAACTAGAACTGAACTAGAACTGAACTAGAACTGAACTAGAACTGAACTAGAACTGAACTAGAACTGAACTAGAACTGAACTAGAACTGAACTAGAACTGAACTAGAACTGAACTAGAACTGAACTAGAACTGAACTAGAACTGAACTAGAACTGAACTAGAACTGAGCTAGAACTGAACTAGAACTGAACTAGAACTGAGCTAGAACTGAACTAGAACTGAACTAGAACTGAACTAGAACTGAGCTAGAACTGAACTAGAACTGAACTAGAACTGAACTAGAACTGAGCTAGAACTGAACTAGAACTGAACTAGAACTGAACTAAACTAGAACTGAACTAGAACTGAACTAGAACTGAACTAGAACTGAACTAGAACTGAACTAGAACTGAACTAGAACTGAACTAGAACTGAACTAGAACTGAACTAGAACTAGAACTGAACTAGAACTGAACTAGAACTGAACTAGAACTGAACTAGAACTGAACTAGAACTGAACTAGAACTGAACTAGAACTGAACTAGAACTGAACTAGAACTGAACTAGAACTGAACTAGAACTGAACTAGAACTGAACTAGAACTGAACTAGAACTGAACTAGAACTGAACTAGAACTGAACTAGAACTGAACTAGAACTGAACTAGAACTGAACTAGAACTGAACTAGAACTGAACTAGAACTGAACTAGAACTGAACTAGAACTGAACTAGAACTGAACTAGAACTGAACTAGAACTGAACTAGAACTGAACTAGAACTGAACTAGAACTGAACTAGAACTGAACTAGAACTGAACTAGAACTGAACTAGAACTGAACTAGAACTGAACTAGAACTGAACTAGAACTGAACTAGAACTGAACTAGAACTGAACTAGAACTGAACTAGAACTGAACTAGAACTGAACTAGAACTGAACTAGAACTGAACTAGAACTGAACTAGAACTGAACTAGAACTGAACTAGAACTGAACTAGAACTGAACTAGAACTAAACTAGAACTGAACTAGAACTGAACTAGAACTGAACAAGAACTGAACTAGAACTGAACAAGAACTAAACTAGAACTAAACTAGAACTGAACTAGAACTGAACTAGAACTGAACTAGAACTGAACTAGAACTGAACTAGAACTGAACTAGAACTGAACTAGAACTGAACTAGAACTGAACTAGAACTGAACTAAAACTGAACTAAAACTGAACTAGAACTGAACTAGAACTGACCTAGAACTGAACTAGAACTGAACTAGAACTGAACTAGAATAGAACTAGAACTGAACTAGAATTGAACTAGAACTAGAACTGAACCAGAACTGAACCAGAACTGAACTAGAACTGAACTAGAACTGAACTAGAACTGAACTAGAACTGAACTAGAACTGAAGTAGAACTGAACTAGAACTGAACTAGAACTGAACCAGAACTGAACCAGAACTGAAATAAAGCTGAAAATAAACTAATCTTAACTAGAACTAAATTAGAATAAAAGAACTAAATTAGAATTGAACCAGAAGTAAGATAGTTAACCATAAATAAACTTGTAAACAAGAAATAGACTAGTCAATTAAACAGTCCACAGAAAAAATAAATAAAAGTTTTATCAATAACAAAACTAGTTCTAGAATGAATGATCATTATCTTCATTCATTCCAGTTTGAAGTTGAAACAATAATATTTGTTCGAAATTGTCACCTTCAAAACCGAAATTATGAGTGTTTTACTGTAGATATACAAAAGTTCACACTGAAGAACAAAGCAAGGACGTTTTCAACATTTATAAAGGTTTCTCGACGTATCAATACATACAGCCCCTAATAATTCGGCTGTTGAACATTGAATGATACATATTAATGATATCACAAAGGACATTACTATCTACAAATTTCTAGAAATTATTGCTCAAAGTTTCGAAAATAAAGAGTCGCAATAAGTATTTTAATATTAAAATAGAATGACAAACTAGTACATACCCCTGTTTAATATGATAATCCACCCCCTTTTCTTAATATGAATCATTTTAAAAATTCTTATGTATTTGATAAAAAAAACATTAAACTACACCAAATAACCAATTTTATAATAAATCTCTATACTAAATTCCCAACATACACTCACCTCATGCGAACGAAAACGTGAATCGTCGAGCTTTTTAATGGCATATTTCATATCTTCATGACGCAAAAACTCCACAACACCAGTACCGTCTTTATAGGTATCGGCAAAGCAAACATCACCTGCTTCACGCATATGATCTTTTAAATCTTGCCAAGAGCCCGAAGGTGGTAGGCCAGTGACCATTACACGATACTGAGAACGTTTTGTGGGTGGACCACGACCTCCACGGCCACCAGCACCATCTCTACCACCACGGCCGCTGCCACCGCCTCCACCACCACCACCGCCATCATTACGATTACCACGGTAACTACCGGGACCTCCGCCCCTAGGAAATTCTACTCTTAATCTATAACCATCGTAATCGTAACCATCTCTAGCCTTAACAGCATCATCCGCATCTCTAGTTTTTCGAAGAAAAAAAATTAAAACAAATTTATTTCACTATACAATTCCACATTCAAACGGAAAAAATCAATATTACAGGAATAGCATATACAGCTTGTGCTTACCTTGCATCTTCAAATTCTACAAATGCAAATGGCGGACCACGCCGGTTCTTTAAATCGACAAATGTTACTTTGCCAAATTTATGAAACAAATCCTGAATATCTTTGGTCCGTATATCGGGTGGTAAATTGCCAACATAAATGCGTGATTCTGTACGTGATCCCATTTTATTTAAATTTTATGAGATTTTTTTGTACAAACGTTATTGTAGAGAATAGTTGAAATTATGTCGATTTATTTCTTTGTCTTTTTTCCAGTGTTTATTATTTTTCCTTCAGCTCTTTTTTGCACCACGATACTTTTTTCTTTAATAAACGACACAAAAAATGTTCGCCATTTTTTGTGTGATGCCAACAGAGCCCTGCGCCGACAAATATTAACGGCGTCGGCGATTGACACTAAATATGGCGGCGGCGGCTTAAAATCGACTGTAAGCCGGCTAAGTTTTCAACTACGTTTAGTTTTTAATTTTTCAACGATTTTAAATAAAAACGGAATCCGAGAGATCAGAAAGTAGGATTTTGGAAGCAAATATGTTGTTTATAACAACAAAACAGAGCAAACTCAAAAGTTGTATGAGAAATTATGCAGGGATGAATAAAAAATTCTTAAAAATTAAAAACAAATCCTTTCTCCAAGTTTTACTAGGATCTGCCGATATTTAACCTTATCTTCCATATAAAACATCTTGCAGAAAATCAGTTTCTAAAAAATTTTGCATTAAGAAAATGATCATTAACGTAAAAACAAAGATATTTTATTTGTTTATTTACTAGCTATACCCAGTGTGCTGTGCAATATAAATAAGAAACCTACTTTACAATTTTGATGATTCTAACTACAATGGTTTTCCAGATATACAATTTGTTACATATGGGAGATTCCACGCAAATTATTGCAATTTCGCCAATTATTCCGAACGTTAATTAAGATTTTAATTTAATCTATGAAAAATTTGAATAATCTAATAGTTTCCAGATATACAAAATTTTGTATTTAATTCATATGGGAAGTGCCAAGCCCCCCATTGAAAGTCCGCCCGTTATTCTCTAAATGTTCTTCAGTAAAATTTGAAGATTCTAGCTCTAATAGTTTCTCAGATATACGAATTTTTCTATTTAATTCATATGGGAGCTCCAAGCCCCTCAGATGAAAGTCCGCCCTTTCATCCCAGATAAACGAATTTTTGTATTTAATTCATATGGGAGGTTCTGCTCCCCTCATTGGTAGTCCCCCAGTTTATTACCCAAAATGTTTACATGGATGTTAAAGTTCTTCCAGAACAACATCATTTAAAGGGATCACAAAGAGATTGGAAAATATTCCAAAAGTTTCACTTTGAAAACATTATTAGAATGTATGAAAACTCGCAACTCTAAAGGCAGACTATTCCTATTTTAGCGGTAATTTATGATTAAAATAAGTAAGAAGTAAGAGTTATATTCGGCAAATCATATGTCGTAAAAAAGCAAATTTCGGAAGTGGTCCGATCATTAGATTAATAAGAACGTCACCGTGATTTTCGGATTAGGGACTTAAATGTGGAATTGGATCAATAATATATATAATTTAAAGTATTTTTTTTTAATTCTACCATAATTCTATCATAATGATAACTTTTGGAATGATGTATTAGCTATAAACTGATTTTCTGTAAGAGGGTTATATTGGCGGACCGATCCTCATAATTTTATTTTTCATAAATGTAGGTTTCGATTCCTAAAAATGTTTATTTCGTCGACATCGACATTTGAAAGCCATTTATGTGCGTTTAAGTCATTTTCTGAAGAAGATTTCATTACATATTTTCGTTCCAACAAAAATTGTTTTATTATGGTATTATTAAGTACGTAGAAAACGTTAAAATCAATTATTGAAGGGGACAGGGTCAACTATGACCTATAGAGATTTCGATTGATATCGAGCCATTTTTGCAAAATGGACATAAGCGAGATAAATTTTCGTTCAATTAGGATACTTATGTTTATATATTCAATATTTTAGAAAATTCAAAAAGTACCAGTTAAAGAACGAAAAATTTCCAGAAATACTCCAGTTTAAATTTTCATTCACTCAAGTCCCTGATTGCTTAGTTTTATGTTTTTAGGTTCATTATAGAAGAAAATCCAAATAGTACAAGTTGAAGAACGAAAAAGTACCAAAAAGTCCCGTTTTATATGTTCTCACTTACTCCATGTTCAATATTATAGAAAATTCAAAAAATACCTTTTGAAGAACGAAAAAGTACCAAAAAGTTCCCTTTTATACCTATGTTATTACTTAATCCGGTCTATACATTTCTAATTTCATGTTTCTAGGTTAAATATTATTGGCAAAAAATTGTTTGAAAATTATTGATTTTCGATTATTAAATCCAAAATTCCAAAGTAGACATAATAAAAATGTCCTTTATATATTTTTCATTTTTTTAAATATATGTTTTTTAATTTTTTACAATTTATTTTTTAAACTTTTTCATATTTTTATATTGAAATACCTGTCTTTTGGTATTGTCCGCCTCTAGCATATCTTCTAATCGATTATCAAACAATCGATTTTTTATCGAAAAAATCTAAGGCTATCATGAAAAGTCGACTTGTAAATAAATATTGAAGAATATCGATGTTCAAAATAGATTTAATTTTTTTAATATATTTTTTATTTACATAAACATTATAAAAGAAGTTAAAAAGTGACAGTTTACAAAAAGTCAACAATTTCAAAATTGTAAAAATTTAATAGCTCTGGTATCGAAAAACGTTTTCAGAAACCGCTAGCTCTGGTACCGAAAAATTTTTCAGAAACCGCTAATTTGGCCTAATTTCTTTCACTGACAAAATTTTAAATATATTATGAAACGTCCTATAAGCATAAAATTTTTGGCAAGTGGCATCTCCAGATTTCGATAGCTCTGGAATATACATTTAAAATCCGTGTTCCGTTTTCAATAACCGCTAATTATGTCTGTTTTTTACCAACAACTTTTTGTACTTGACTTTATAAGGTCTTTCATAATATATTAAAAATTTTGCAAGTGACATCGATATATTTTCGAAATCCGTGTTCCGTTTTCAGAAACCGGTAATTTTGCCTGTTTTCTTCCATTCACTACTTTTTGGCCTAAATTTGCAAAATTTTCACTTTGTTTGCAAGATGATACAAATGTCTAATTTTGGACACGTTGACATCCGTGGATTTCGAAAACCGTTTTCAGAAACCACTAATTTTGTCCAAAAATTATTACAACAAATCAACTTTTCTAGATTCGAATTTATTAAAAAGACAAATCGCGACTTTTTCAAATATGGTCGAAAATTAAATCGTAATATTGTTTTTCATAAATTTTTAGGGTTACCGTTTTTTACATAAAAATAGAAAATTTGAAATTCCCACAATTCTGAGACTAAAGGCCCAAATAAACTCTAAATAAAATAGTATTTCGCTTATTAAAAAAATAATAAAATATCTACTGGATTTATAGGTACGACTTTTTTCAATTTTTCGACTTTGTTTCGACTCTTTTGGAATTCTTTTCAAAGTTTTTAAATTTCCTGTAAATATTTTCAAAAATTATTTTTATAAATCTAAAATACAATGAAAAAACATAATTTACTTAATTATTTTTATGATTTATTGAAATATGTGTGGGGTTGTTGGTTGGTTTTTTATAATTAATTTATGTAAATAAACAATCATACATATAAAATGGTGTGTAATTTTAAAATCAATAAATCCAAAAATTTAAGAATATATAATGCTGAGATAATGTATTATAATTCAAATTTTTCTATTACCCTTTAAAGTAAGGTAATCTTAATAAATTTGCTATTCTTCTTAATTTTCTTTTTTCTCTGCCGTTTCTTGTTTATTGCCACTTTCAGCATTAACCTTTTTACTTTCTTCAGGTTTTTCTGTGGTATTTGTTTTTTGTTTATCCTCAGTGGCGTTATCCTTTTTCTCTACATTCTTTTTAGTGTTTGTGGCAGCAGCAGCAGTAGTAGCTTTCGCTTTACTTGGCCCAGTAGTTTTCTTTGTATTACTAGTTGTTGTGCCCGTTTTTCTGGGCAACAATTTGACAAACTTTGTTTTAGTTAAGGGCTTTCTGGCTTCTTTTTCATGCTTATGTATTCTAATCAAGCAAGTACGTATAGCCGACTTAAGGCGAGGACTTAAACTCTCAAACTTTAGTTTCTCGTGTTTTTTCAAGAAGTTGATATCGCGGCGATATGCCTCAATCTTTGAACCTTTATTGGGAATTTTCTTAACGACCGAAAATGATTCCTGCTTCTTTTTCAAGGCGTTATCACATTCAGCCTTTAAATCCATTAATGGCTGCAGTTTTTCAAGGGGATGAACAGCTAAAGCCTTAGCTTCAAGATCTTCAAAACCACATTCATTCATTAAAATTCGAATACGTTTCTTATAGGCTCCACCAAAACGCTTATTCGTATCAATACCCAAACGCTTGGCTGCTAGGAATAACTGTTGTTTTTTCTTTCTCAATGCAATCGACAATTCTGTATAAGATTTTCCCTCGGCAGCTTTAGTGGTAATTTGTCTATCGTTTCTGGGATTTGATGATGTCTTCATAGCCTTTTCATACTGTTCATAATCTTTAACGATTTGTGTATGATATTTTTTCGAAAGTCTATCTTTGGCACTAAGTTCTCGTTTGCCTCTAAGTCGTTTCAAAATATCCAACGATCTAAGATAAGTCTGTCTGGAGACGCGATTACGTGGTATTTGACCTCTAACTGGGCTCTGTGTGAATGAGAAAATTTCAAAATAATTATTATTTAAAATAATTTTGTTTAATAAAATATTAACTAAACATAAAACTACTTTTAAGTTTAGTTTAAAATTGGTTTTAAAAAATTAATAAAATAATTAATAAAATAAAAAGCTAATATTAAGTATCTCATTCCTGCACCCATTACAATTACAAAATACTGTATCAATTTGTCACAGGCTATAACAAAATACACATTCATAATTCACCAGCTCTAAACAATGGACATAAACAGCTAAACTATTCTACTCAACCGCGGACAAAGCTAAACGACGACATTTTTAATCGTTAAGAATGCAACAAAAATTACCTTACTTTTCTGTGCTTTTATACCTATAACTTTATACTGATTGGTTCCTCCGACATTTGAGCTGGTTAATAGACTAGCCAAACACTAGTCAATAGACTAGTCCACAGATTATTTAGTAATGAGATTAGTAATAAGACTATTCAATAGATTCGTCCATAAACTAATCCAATCTATAGACAAATCCAAAGATTAATTAAAATACTAGTCAATATATTATAGAGATTTGTCCATAGGTTAGTCAATAGATAGTCCACAAATTAGCCAATAGCCTAGTCATCAATAGACTAATCCATAGACTATTCAGTAGTCTAGTCCATAGACTAATCCATATACTTGCCAGTAGACTAGTCCATATACTACTCAGTATACTAGTCCATAAACAAGTCTGTAGATATGTCCATAAACTAGTCTGTAGACATGTCAGTAGAAAACTCCATAGACTAATCCACAGATTTAACCATAGACTAGTCTGTAAACTAATTGTCAATAGACTAGTCAGTAAACTAGTTTATAGACTAGTCAGTAGACTAGTACATATACAAGTGAGTAGACTAGTCTGTAGACATGACAGTAGACTAGTCCATAGACTAATCAATATTCTAGTCCATAGACTAATACACAGACTAGTCAGTACACTAGTCTATAGACATGTCAGTAGACTATTCAGTAGTCTAACCCATAAACCTTTCTGCAGACTAGTTTATAAGCTAGTGTACTGACTAACTAGTCCATAGACTAATCCAGAGTCTATTTAATAGACTAGTCCATAAATTAGTCCATATACTTCTCTATAGAACAGTTATATACTAGCCAATAGACTTGTCTAGAATATTCAAAAGACCAGTAATTAGATTATTCAATAGATTTGTCTGCAAACTAATTCATTTACTAGTTCAAAGTTTAGTTATTAGACATGTTTATTGATAAGACTGGTTATAAGACTATTCAATAGATTTGTCCAATTTCATAAAAATTCATAGTTTTTATTGCAAATTAATAATTTTACAAAATTCAAATTAATAATTTCATAATTGAAAACATTTACTCTTTTTGTACTTTTAATGAGATTTGCTAATTTTAATCAAAATTAAACTAATACTGAAATTTAAAGTAAGGGAACGATTTACTGTTAATCTAGCAAATCTGGCAAATATGTAAGAAACAAAAAAGCAATATATTTCAGCAAAAGAATTATAATTATTTGCATTTATCCATTTAAATTCAAAATTTGTGATAAATATTTTGTACTAGAGTGTGTTAGCAGCCACAAAGGCTTTTTAATTTGTTCCTTTAACAAAACTTTTATATTCTTCCTGTATTTTCTTAATATTATAGGCTTTTTTAATGTCCACCAGTTCACGTAGTGTTTCTATAGATAATATAGATAAAATGTTTGCTTCACGTTCTTTTAGACCACCTTGCACCATTAGAAAATTTCTATACTTTTTTGCTACTACTGGGATTGGGTTTAGCTTGTTTAAGTAATAATTGTTTTAAGTCATTAAATTCCCCCAATAACTCTGCGGATGTTTTTTCATGTGTTATTTTAGGAATTGTAGGTTTGGATTCTTTTTCAGACTTGTATTGTTTTCTAGGAAAGTTTTTCAAATTTTGTACCCGAATCTTGAGGAAATTATAAATGGTATCTAAATTTTTGCTGGAGTTATTTTCATTTGTTACTGTTTTCTCGTTTGAAGTGTTTTTTAGTAGCCTATCTTTTGCTCGTTTTTTCATCAAATATTCCTCATATTCACTTTTAATCTTAAGATGGTATTTTTCATCTAACATTTCGTTGTGTGTTAGAGCTGCTTTGGTTTTCTTTTTCTTAAATTTCTCCAAAAGACCCACTGAATTAGTGTACATATGATTTATAAGTTTCTTTACGTATCGTTTTGAAGGAATCTATGTTTAGAGAAGTTATGAAAAGAGATTTTACCATTTACAATACAAGAAATTATATTGTTAAATAGGAAAAATAATATTAAAATGCATTAGTGTAACTAGTAAATGCTAAAACCTTTACAAGATTTTTTATTTAAAAGCCATCATGTAGGAGTTTTTTCATAGTAGCTAAAGTTATACATATTAGAAATCTGCAGTAGGGTTCTGCAAATCGACTTTGTTAATAAAAGTCGAAAAAGGTCGTAAAGAATCGAAAAGAAGGAAAAAAAAAACATATTAATATATGACTGAAAATTTGTATTGTTCCTAAACAATTCAAACCCCAAAAAAGGGCTAAAAAACGTTGAAATCCTATTCTTAACCTTTAAATTATCTCCGACAATTTATTACAATGTTAAATTAACGTTTTTCTAACATACCTGTGACATCATGTTTCCTATAGATGAACTTGGACCAGGCATATCAAAATTACCAACATTACTGTTGTTAAAGCCCGGTTGGAAGTTATCACCACCCCAATTCATCATTTGATTGCCATTGTTGAAATTGTCAGCTGGAGTAGTGGACAACAATGAAAGAAGTGTATTACCAATAGTCTCCAATGCAACATTTGTAGGATCATTAGGAATTGGATTAACCACATTATTATTGTTATTATTGACATTATCTCTTGGATATGGTTGGGCGCGATGTTCCAAGGCTTTGGCACGTGCCAGTTCAGGTGAGAAACCTTTACGTATATAACGATTAAACCATTTACGACCAGAACCACTAAGACCACGAGTAAAATTATCCTCAAAACCTGGACGGGCGTAAGGATCATTATTGGAATTGTAGTTATAGTTGTTAGGTGGGTTAATATTATTGCCGCCACTCATATTATTATTGCCAGCATTCCAATCCATATTATTCATCATATTATTGTTACCACTATTCCAAGAGCTATTATTAGAATAGTCCATCATATTCATATTTTGCTGCTGTTGTTGCGAAAAATCAGAATAATTTGTATTCGAATAATTCATCATATTTTGTTGAGACATATTTGAGTAATTATTCATATTTTGTTGTTGCATATTCGAACGATTTAAGTTTGAATAATGCTGTTGCTGTATATTTGAACGATTTGAGGTGTTGGAATACTGTTGCTGCATATTTGAACGGTTTGAGTTGGAAAATTGTTGTTGTTGCATATTTGAACGATTATTATTTGTATTTTGCGGCATATTGGAACGACCACTACCACCACCATTACCAAAAGAAAACGGCATCATATTTTGTTGTTCTATATTATTGGAACGATTATTTGTTTGGTAATTCATCATATTTTGCTGAGGCATATTAACACGATTGTTTTGTTGTTGCATACCTTGGGACATATTCGACCATTGAGCGTTGTTGGAACTGGATTGGTATGAATTAGAGTTGTTGTTAAAATTGCCACCCATACGATTATTGTTATAGCCATTATTGTTATTAGAACCACCACGATTATTTTGCGAACCAAAATTGCCGCTAAACATAGGTGGTGGTGGCGGTGGTGGTGTAGCGTCTCGGCGTTTTCTAACCTCATTTTCTATCAAACGCAATTGTAAAGTATAACCTTCGTAGTCATAGCCATGTCTAGCTTTAACCGCATTGAAAGCATTTCTTTAAAAATTCAAGAAAATATATAAATCGTTATTGTAATATTTGTAAAAATTAGATTTTATTATCCTCTTACCTTGCACTGTCAAATTGCACCAATGCATACACCGGATTTGCTCGATGGTTCACATCAATATAGACAAGTTTACCAAATGCTCTAAAGAAATCATCGATATCTTTAATACGAATATCTGGTGGTAAATTTCCAACATATACACGCTCCATTTTGTTGCTTATTTTAGTAGAAAAATTAATTTATACTTTCTCGGAAAAACTTTTTGTACACGAAGAAACGTATTTCGTAAACTGTCGATGATGCCGAATTGAAAAATGCCGAAATCAATTGTATGCAGTGTTGTCAATATTTTTTCACCATTTCCCATGTCACAAAAACCTCTAGAAATCGCTAGATTTTGGTTTTTGTAAAAGCCGCTAGAAAACGTCAAATTTAGTTCAATCAATAGCTGGGGATTTTGTAATTTGTCAAGTAAAAACAAAATTCAATAAATTTTATAAAAAATTAAAAATATTGAATATCGAATATAAACTAGGCTACCGAAAGTAGTCCATCATATAGACTAGACTTTGTATTAGAATATAATCCCTCGCAGATGGGATGGCCTCTGTTGAGTCGTCAACAGCACCTAGAGAATTAATTGGTAGACCAAAACACGAATCCATCAAATGTGTCGAAGACTTGTTCTTACTCACAGAGAACACACTGTGGTAAATATGATATGAACAGAGTAAATTCTGAACATATATTGCAAGTAATTTGACTTGAGGAAAAACACTAAAAATATCCAAAGTCTGAATAAAAATCTCCAAATATCCCGCAATTACCATTTCAAAAACGTCAAATTGGCAACACTGATTAAAAATCGCTAGACTTGACCAGAAAATAACTGAATTGGCAGCAATGGTTGAACGAATAATTTTATATTTTGGCAACTCGATAAATACAAAAATCTTTATGAAGTTACCAGACTACTTTTGTTTAAAAATATCAAAATCAATGAATTGATTTTGATATTTTGTGTGTAGTGTGATTTGATAAAACCATGGTTTATCAAATCACATAACTTTTTAGATTATATATTTTGTTTCAATGAAAATAAAAAAAATTGCAGCCAAAATCATAATAACTCTACACAGGTTTATAAAATCATAAGTTTTTATTTGTATTTTTGTACTAGTTATTAATTAAAATAAAAAAATTATTCTTACTGCATCTAAAACGAAAATCGTTCAGTTTTATGCATTGCCATTCCATTCCATATTCCACTTATGATTATTATCTGTAAAAAATAAAGTTTGCAAACAAAAATATTGTAGTATTTTCACAGTATCCATTGTATTCCAAAACTTTCTAAATGTATTTCAGAAATTTCAAATTGTATATAAAAAATTTTCAGTTATATTTCAAAAATATTTAATATTTTTCAAGAGTTTTTAACTGTTTAGAAATTGTATTTGAATCTTTTGCTTCAAATAATACAACCTAACAAAATTTAAAAAAAAAAGACGAAACCCAAAGAACAATGTATACTTTTCTGAAGGATTGAGATGCGCTGATTCCAAATCTGGTATGAGAATTTATACATTACATGGAAAATATCATGTATTAATCTTTGAAAAGACCCGTTTTGGCCATATTTGAGATGTTCTAACATCTAATGGATAAATTCTATAGCCAGATTCGGATTTAGCGCTACTCAATACTTTATAAATGTATACATACCTATTGTGATCTTTGGGTTTAAAATTGTTTGGCTAAAATAAATAAATTTAGTGATATAAATATCTATAATTTTAAATACCTACCATCCGGATTCCTTCTATAGAACTTAATCTTCTCCTGCAGTAATTCGTACTCCAAGTCTAGATTTCTGGCCTTTTTTCTTTCATTTTCCATTTGTAGCAAATGTAATTCTTCGCGGTATTGGACATCAACGCTAGAAGGTTTTACGATTTGTTTAACAGGTGGGGCCGTATCAATAAATACTGGTATTTTCTAAACAAAATACATAAAACATAAAAATGTGTTTGCTTATTTTATCTTTAGAATACAGGGAAAAAGTTACAATAGGTATATCCAAGCAAATAAATCTTTTATCGCACCAATGTAATGTGTAAATAATTTTGTTTACCTGTGGTTTGCGAGGATTTTCTAAATCTTTTTTAGCCTGAACTTTTGTTAGTGTCCATTGCGACTTTAATTGTAGTACATTTCTGGGGCCTCCTAGGCATTTACTATTGAACCTAAAACAATATTAAGGTTATAACAACTCATTTAAACTGTAATTAACTTTACTTCTCTTCAATCTCCAACCAGGCTAACTTTTTTCGTTGATTAGTATCTGTATCTGTGTTTTTATCTTCAATCGCTTTAATTCTTTCTTTCACCAGCCTTTTGAGTAAAATCTGTTGGAAATAAGAATGAAAAATAAAATAATATGTATAAGCCTTTTCTAATAATATTAATACCAACTTTATCCTCTTCAATCCAATTGACTCCACGGTTTCTTTTGCTTTTCTTTTCCATTTTTATACACATTCAAATGTCTTTTTTCAACACATTTTAACAAATACACTTTAAATATAAATAAAACAATATAGTGATGCGTAAACAAAGTTAATAAAGCGAGTATCTGCATAAAAGTCGAATCGATTTGCTTGTGTTACACAAATCGAATAATCGACTGTTAAAAGTGTTGCCAGATTGTTAAAAATGTATAAGTTGATGGTGATGTTTGCAATTCGAAAATAGTCAACTTTACATCTTACTACCATTTTTCCATTACAAATTTGTTATAATCCAATTTGTTAGGGAAAAATACACGACGTCGTACTTTTTACTTTTTTTTCGAAAAAAATCGATTGTTCAAAAGTCAATTTATAAAAGAAGGTATATAAAATTCAGCACAGTCATATTAGGGTTCTATAGTTCAAACAATGTGTCGACTTTTTGTATTTTTGAAAAGTAAATTTTTCCGTTTCACATGATGCAATTATTCGTCATTCACACTCTCATTCATCATTCAACCCCCAATTACATTCTGAATGAAAATTTTAGCTGCGAATTAGAGGTGAATGAGTGTCACCTCTAATTTTATCGGGTGTTTATCATAATCAGCTGTTTGGTTAGCAACAAATAAAAAATAAAATTACAAAAAATGCAAATAAATAGAGAATATATAACTTAATTTGTTAAAATAATGTAACAAACGTATTTTGTATCAAACACAAACAAATATACGAAAAAAATAACAAAATATTGAATGAAAAAAAAAACAACATGGCGATGAACTATCAGAACGAATTACGAATGTGTTGCTGAAACGGGTTAACTGACTATTGTCATTCAGAGACCGAATTAAGTAATTCAACTGCTCGTGTGAACTGCGTATAATAGGATTCGGCACAGCCATATTTCGTACCATTGTCACAGGGTATGCCATTGTTTGCAATAAAGTGTTGTCAAATGGAAAAGAAAAAAAAAACGTCAATGTGCCGGTTCACACAGGAAAACTTTAGATTTTGTGTGTGAGAGGAAGAGAAAGAAATATCAACCATCTCATCCTCTCACACACAAAATCAAAAGTTTTTCTGTGTGAACCGGCACAAACTCAACAACTTTTCAAAAACAATATAATTTAATGTTTATTTAGGATATAGTCACAAAACAATATACATACATAGTATGTACGTACAAACAAACAAAAAATGGGTAAACGCGTAAATTTGTCGTTAAAACAAAAAATCAGTTTATTAAATGATTTTAGAGATAATTCTATAAAACGTAAAGAATTAAGTGTTAAATATAAAATAGATGTGTCAACAGTTAGCAAAATTATCAAAAATGAAGAAAATATACATACGCAATCTAGCACTGTCATCGAATTGGAAGTCTAAACGGCAAAGAAAAGGGGAACATCCCAATGTGGAAAAGGCACTTGCTGTTTGGTTTGATGAGATGCGTGGCCAAAATGCTATTGTAACCAGTTCAATGCTTGTGAACAAAGCGAAAGAACTTGGTATTCAAATGAATGAAGAATTTGAACCAGATTATAGTTGGTTATTTCGGTGGCGCAGGCGCTTTAATATAAATTTTAACTTGGTTCAAAGAGAAACGAGTAAGAATGATAATTTAGAAGTCGATGACTTCAGCTCTATGGTTTTACCCAACTTACTTAATGAATATTCACCTGATTGTGTTTTTAATGCCAAAGAAAGTGGTCTTTACTATAAAGCATTGCCCAATACGCGATATTTTAAAAAAGGAGACCAGCCAAACGCTTGCAAATCACAAAAGTCTCGGCTAACATTGCTATTTGTTTGTAATTCTACCGGCTCCTATAAACAAGTTTTTTGTATAGGAAAACCGAAAAAATCGATATCTTTCAAATACAAAAACCTGCCGATAACCTATTATTCGAATAAATATGCTTGGATGACAAATGTCATCTGGAATGAGATACTGTCCATTATAGACAAAGAAATGCAAGAAAATAACATGAAAATTTTATTGTTTATTGATAACGCAGCTTGTCACAAAGTAACTATACCGTTGGAAAACATAAAAATCCATTTTCTTCCTCGAAATAACACTGCCCTTAAACAGCCATTAGATCAAGGCATTATACATTGTTTTAAATATCAGTACAGAAAAATTATTGTTACAAAACAACTATGTGCTTTGAAAAAGGGTTTAACCACTAATCTATATATATAAAATTCTAACGTTACTGACTGACTGACTGACTGACTGACTGACTGACTGATTCACTGACTGATTCATCATCGCACAGCCTAAACGGTTGAAGCTAAAGAGCTGAAATTTTGACAGGAGGTTGGTCTCCCGCCAAATAGATCCACTAAGACGGGATTTTTGGAAATTTGAATGTTTAGGGGGTAAAAAAGGGTAAAAACGGGTAAATTCGGTAACCTTATATCTCCTAAACTAGAAAAGATACAATAACAGTTTAAAGCTTATCGCCGTTCATTTAAAAAATAAACGGACAGGTGTCTGGTACTTTTTTAAAATTCGGCCCCTTTAGGGAATAAACGGGTAAAAACTGTATTTTGGTACTTTTTTCGCACCCCATGTATCTTTTAAACCAGTGCACATTCAAAAAATATTTTTGACTCCTTCATAACTTAACGAAAAAATAAAAATATGAATTTAGTACTTTTTGGATATTCGGACGTTTAAGGGGTTAAAATTATACCTATTTTTGGTACTTTTTTCATAAAACATTGTTTTTGGTTTATTAACTTATACATATGAATACATAATAACGGGCTCCCACTACGATGTTGCAACTTTTTGGAATAGAATTTTTATTTCGTTAATGGGGAGTAAAAAAGTACCAAAAGGGGTAAAAACGGGAAATTTGATTTTATTCAACCACAATGATCCAATTTAGATAAAATTTTTAAATTTAGAAACACTAAATATCCTAATGGGGTGTTATTTGGAACCCCGGTATCAAGTGATATTTTTTGGTACTTTTCATTCTCCAACTGGTCCTTTTTGAGTTTTCTATGATATTGAAATAGAAACATGAAATTAATAATAAAGGGACTTTTCGCTACTTTTTCGTTCTACACAGGTACTTTTTTGAGTTTTCTGTAAAATTAAACCTAGAAACATGAAATTAAGCATGTAGAGCTCGGAGTAAATGAGAATCTATAAAATGGGACTTTTTGGTACTTTTTCGTTCTTCAAAAGGTACTTTTTGAATTTTCTATAATATTGAACCTAGAAACATGAAATTAAATATGTAGAGACCGGAGTAAATGAGAATCTATAAAAGGGGACTTTTTGGTACTTTTTCGTCCTTCGACTGGTACTTTTTGAGTTTTCTATAAAATTTAACCTAGAAACATGAAATTAAGCATGTAGAGCCCGGAGTAAATGAGAATCTATAAAAGGGGACTTTTTGGTACTTTTTCGTCCTTCGACTGGTACTTTTTGAGTTTTCTATAAAATTTAACCTAGAAACATGAAATTAAGCATGCGGAGGCCTTAGTTAATGAGAATCTATAAAAGGGGACTTTTTGGTACTTTTTCGTCCTTTGACTGGTACTTTTTGAGTTTTCTATAAAATTTAACCTAGAAACATAAAATTAAGCATGTAGAGCCCTTAGTAAATGAGAATCTATAAAAGGGGACTATTTGGTACTTTTTCGTCTTTCGACTGGTACTTTTTGAGTTTTCTATAAAATTTAACCTAGAAACATGAAATTAAGCATGTAGAGCCCTTAGTAAATGAGAATCTATAAAAGGGGACTTTTTGGTACTTTTTCGTCCTTCGACTGGTACTTTTTGTGTTTTCTATAAAATTTAACCTCGAAACATGAAGTTAAGCATGTAGAGCCCTTAGTAAATGAAAATCTATAAAAGGGGACTTTTTGGTACTTTTTCGTCTTTCGACTGATACTTTTTGAGTTTTCTATAAAATTTAACCTAGAAACATGAAATTAAGCATGTAGAGCCCGGAGTAAATGAGAATCTATAAAAGGGGACTTTTTGGAACTTTTTCGTCTTTCGACTGGTACTTTTTGAATTTTCTATAAAATTTAACCTAGAAACATGATTTTAAGCATGTAGAGCCCAGAGTAAATGAGAATCTATAATAGGGGACTTTTTGGTACTTTTTCGTCCTTCGACTGGTACTTTTTGAGTTTTCTATAAAATTTAACCTAGAAACATGAAATTAAGCATGTAGAGCCCAGAGTAAATGAGAATCTATAATAGGGGACTTTTTGGTACTTTTTTGTCCTTCGACTGGTACTTTTTGAGTTTTCTATAAAATTTAACCTAGAAACATGAAATTAAGCATGTAGAGCCCTTAGTAAATGAGAATCTATAAAAGGGGACTTTTTGGTACTTTTTCGTCCTTCGACTGGTACTTTTTGAGTTTTCTATAAAATTTAACCTAGAAACATGAAATTCAGCATGTAGAGTCCTTAGTAAATGAGAATCTATAAAAGGGGACTTTTTGGTACTTTTTCGTCTTTCGACTGGTACTTTTTCAGTTTTCTATAAAATTTAACCTAGAAACATGAAATTAAGCATGTAGAGCCCGGAGTAAATGAGAATCTATAAAAAGGGACTTTTTGGTACTTTTTCGTCCTTCGACTGGTACTTTTTGAGTTTTCTATAAAATTTAACATAGAAACATGAAATTAAGCATGTAGAGCCCTTAGTAAATGACAATCTATAAAAGGGGACTTTTTGGTACTTTTTCGTCTTTCGACTGGTACTTTTTGAATTTTCTATAATATTGATCCTAGAAGCATGAAATTAAGCATGTAGAGCCTGGAGTAAATGAGAATCTATAAAAGGGGACTTTTTGGTACTTTTTCGTGGAAACATGAAATTAAGCATGTAGAGTCCTTAGTAAATGAGAATCTATAAAAGGGGACTTTTTGGTACTTTTTCGTCCTTCGACTGGTACTTTTTGAGTTTTCTATAAAATTTAACCTAGAAACATGAAAATAAGCATTTAGAGCCCGTAGTAAATGAGAATCTATAAAAGGGGACTTTTTGGTACTTTTTCGTTCTTCAAAAGGTACTTTTTGAATTTTCTATAATATTGATCCTAGAAGCATGAAATTAAGCATATAGAGCCTGGAGTAAATGAGAATCTATAAGAGGGGACTTTTTGGTACTTTTTCGTTCTTCAAAAGGTACTTTTTGAATTTTCTATAATATTGAACCTAGAAACATGAAATTAAGCAAGTACAGCCAAGATTAAGTGATAACCTATAAAAGGGGTCTTTTCGGCACTTTTTCGTTCTTCAAAAGGTACTTTTTGAATTTTCTATAATATTGAACCTAGAAACATGAAATTAAATAAAAGAGGTCTTTTGTTACTTTTTCGTACTTCATTGGTACTTTTTGAGTTTTCTAAAATATTGAATATATAAACATATATTTAAATAGGGGACTTTTTGATATTGCAGATATATATACATTTACAATAATATTTATTTTATTCCATTACGATGAGGGTAGCGAAGCACACTGGGTATAGCTAGTGAGTATATAAAATCAGTTACAATATTCGATGCATTAAATTTTATAAAACGGGGCTGGTGGTTAATAACACCAGAGACGATTGCAAATTGTTTTAAAAAGGTATACATGTACTGTCACAATTTCTATTTATAACTTTTTTGAATTCAATCTCTTTGTAGGCTGGTTTTAATGACACTGCTATCGAACATATTGAGTGTGATGATGAAGCCAATGAAATCGAAAACTTTTCTTTAGAATATTTACATTGTGATGATGATTTAATTTGCTATGGAGTTATGGCCGATGAAGAAATTTTTGAAAACGCAACGGAAAATGATTTAGATGCAAACGATGAATTTTTTGTTGTTGAAAAACAATTTTCGAGCAAGGAAATTTTAAATGCAGTAGATGTTCTACAACATTTCTGCTCAGAGCAGAATATAAATACAAATTTCTTATTCGATGAAATAGAGGACATATTTATAAAGAATGACCGCAAACTAAAACAGTCTAAAATTAATGATTTTTTAAAATAATTGTAATAATTACTTTTAAATGTATTGTATTTATGTTAATTTAATTTCTTTAATAAAAATAATATTTTTTTTATTATTTTAGTTGACAATAGTTGAGATTGTACTATTTTTTTGAAGACCTTTTGATGGACTATACATATAATTAATAGGCAAGGCGATTTTTTCTGACCCCTTTTACTCTTAGAGTATGCATCAAATCTTGTATACATAAATGCATATTTGAAATTTTGCTTTATTTCGATCATAGATTAATTCTGGAAAATAGTTCAGGATAGCAAATTATTTCCAAATTAAAACATTTCAACCTCTTTGAATCCCAAATAAAATATTTCAATAATTTTCAAACATTTCCAAAATTTCTTGTCATATCGAATTAAAACCAGGAGATTTTCAGTTATAATAAGTAAGTGCTATTTATTAATCGCATGCTTTGATTAATATTTCTATCCTCCATTATAAATAATTAAATACTAAGCACTAAAGACCTACACTACTGAAACAAGATTCCTTGAGATAGCCGGTTTTTTCGATACGCCTTTTTCCTTTTTTGAAATTTGTATTTTTTTATTACTAGAATCTAAGGTACTGCAATATTTTATAGCTTTCTTTCTAGCAATTTGCGTTGAGTCTCCTAAAGCTATGAACTTATGCATACAGGCTTTTATTCTTGCCTCCTTAGGATCAGTGCCCATTTTCAGATAACGTAGATACCACTTAACGCCAGCGCCACTCAATCCATTTCTAAATGGATCATCTAATCCTCCAGGTTTACCATTTTCTGGTATACTTATATTTTTAGGAATAGTTATCTTTTTTACTGTTTCTTTCTTTTTTTTCGGCGGGTTATCCTGCTGCTGTTCCAAACATTTATCACTGGTAGCTGAAGAATTGTCATCAGGAGTCAATAATTTTACTTGGAACTGATAACCCTGATACATGCATCCATTTGTAGATACAGCAGCGTTATAAGCAGAACTTCAACATCCATGGAAAAGAACAAACATGTATATTTATTACTATATATTGATTGGTTTTCCAATTATAAATATTTACCCATTATTGTCGAACAATATAAAAGCAAACGGTGGTTGACAGCGATTCTTAATATCAATAAATACAATATGACCAAATGATTGATATAATAAACTTAATTCTTCAATCTTAATTGTAGGTGGAATATTTCCTACATAAATTTCCATTTTTTAATAAAAATAGAATTGAAAAAAATACAATGTTATTGTTGACAAAAACTTTTGTTTACATATTTTAGATGTTGGTAATTTAGCGATTTTAAATCAACATGCTGGGGGTGTTTTTGCGTTAGGGATATTGTTTAAAAAGTCGTATATACTATATAAGTATAACATAATTTATTTTTAACATGAAAAGCTTATTTTATTATATATTTTAACTTACAATTCAATATTTTATAAAATATATTTATTAAGAGGACTTACGAAAAAAGCGCTATAAACACAAATAATCGCTTCTATATAACATTCTAACAGTTACTACTATTTTGTACAACCATTAAAGCGTCTGTCGTCTAGCTGTCAAATTAATTATAACAAAATTATTTGTTGTTATTTGTGTGTGCATTTTTTTGTTGTACAACTAATTAAAAATTAATTTATTATTTACATTGCATAATTTTCCCTAATAAATTGTTTATAAACAAAAAGCACAACAAATATTAAAAATACAATATTTGTTAATGACAATAATAATGTCGGGGAAATTAAAACAATAGGAAAACAAAGAGAGAAAAGACAAAAATAGACATGCCAAAAATGGGGCAATTACTAGCAGACAGTGAAGAAAAAATTAAAATTTAAAGAATAAATATAATAAAAAAACAAATAAAAAACAAAATAAATTCTAAATTATATGAAACTAACAATATATTTGCAAATATGTCGAATATTAAAAGTGTTAATTTTTATGATTTATGTCGTATTTGTACGACTACAACAGAACAAAAAATTGATATTTTTTCACCGGAAGGCAAAACAAAAAATTTATGTGCTAAAATTACTGAATGTTTACCTTTAAATGTAAGTTTTTATTTGAGAAATATATTGAATATTTTAAAGTAAATATAATAAATTATATGTTTAGGTGGACGAAAAGGATCGTTTGCCAAAAGTTTTGTGTCCGCAATGTATACAGCATTTGGAAACTTATATGGAATTTCGCAATATTTGCCGCAATTCCCAAATCATGTTAACATCATGCTTGAATACAGCTTCGGCTCAGAATGGTGGTAAAGTTTTGATTAAAGACGTTTTATCGGCTACGGGTAGAAGTTTGAGTGTTACAAGTAATGCGCCAAATTCTAATAATATAAACAATACGGAACAATTACCAACTGTTTCTACACAATGTTTGAATCAGACAGTAGCACCATCACAGCTTCATACTCAGCAACAGCAACAACAACCGCTACAGCAGCAGCAACAATTATTTACAATACAAGGTTCGAATGTAATGGCTCATTCTGTGGTCAATCCATTGACCCTATCAGCTGCGGGTAGTATTCAGAATCAAGATTTCCTTAATTCTATAATGCAAGCTGTTGGTATTCAGGTATATTTATAGAGAATTTTATAAATTTCTTTGAAGTTTTTATATAAAATTGTAATTAAAATTATTATCCTTTTAGAATGATCAGGTTAAAGTTGAAAAACCTCAAACGATACCGCAATATACCATAACCGTCGACAATAGTGGACAACAACAACAATCACAACAAATAAATTCCCAACCTAGTACACCAAATAAAGATAATGAGACGAAGAATAAGTAAGTAATTTTTTATAAATTGAAAACTATTTTTTAAACAAAAAAATGTTTTAGTGCTTTGGAGGAATTTTTGAAGATTAAGCCCAATATAAAAATAACACCCACAAGTAAAAAGCAACAACAACAGCAGCAGTTGCAACAACAACAGCAGCAACAACAGGAGGAACAACAAGCGCAGGAGGAACAGCAGCAGCAAAATTTGCAACAACAGCAACAAGAATTACAGCAACAGCAAATCCAACAACAGCAGTTACAACAACAACAACAAGAACAACAACATCACCAACAACAACAGCAACAACAACAGCAACAACAACAATTAGTACAATTTCAACTTCAACAACTTATTCAACAACAATTACAGCAACAACAGCTGCAACAACAATTACAACTCTTGACATCGCAACTACAACCGCAACAAATCACAATAACAGCACCCACATTACAACAGCAACAACAAGCGCTGCCGCAACAACTCCATCTACTACAATCGACTTCTTTAACGGCGGACAATAAACTTAATGACAACAATAACGATGACTTAAGTCCATCGAAAAATAAAAAGCCTAAATTAAATTTTGTGCTCACACCACCAAATCATGCAACAACAACTACAATACCTCAATTAACAACCGTGGCCACAACACAAAATACTACACAAACGCATCAACATCAAGCAACAGCAGCACCTCAAATACAATTACAATTTCAGCCCACCTTAACACCACAAACTACATTACAATTACAACAGACACATCAGCAGCAACAACAAAATCAAAATGCTGCCACTGCGGCTTTGCTTTCGAATTTGGCTCCCTTACTGCAACCTCAGACCCAGTTAAATGCCGCCTTACAAACGCAAGCTTTGGCCAATGTTGCAACTCATAATAGTGGAGGAAACATGCTATCACCTAATAAATGTTTTTTGCCCATTACGATTAAGGATGAAAACACTGATCAGCAGTTTGTGGCTCATATTGATGCTAAAAATTTCCTTTTACCCACCACTTATCAATTGCAAATGAAGGTAGGGGAAAGAAATCCAATTTTTTTTTTTTTTTAATAATAACATTTTTACTTTCTTTTACAGTTACAACCTCAAATAGCAACAGCCGATGGTCAACCCATAATGCAACTAGCACCTACTTCAATACCAGCAACCTTGCAATTTGCTCCTCAAGCATTAAATGCAAATCAAACATTCCAAACATCTGCAGCAGTAGCGAGCTTTAATAACAATTCCAACTTTTCAACACAATTAATTCAGCAGCAACAACCACAACAGCAACAATCGCAAACCATACAAACACAACAACAGCAGCAGCAGGTACTGCCACAGATAGTTAACACTCAAGCCCAAACACAACAGCAACAAATTACAACACAAACACAGCAACCTGTGCCCTCACAAACACAAACACAACCACAAACATTGCAAATCACCCAGTTACCAAAAAGTGTCCAAATAACCTCCCAACAAGTACTTACAACTGGAGATAATAAAACTTCTAAAAAACCAACAGCAACAACAAATATAACAGAAAAAACATCAACCACCAGTGAAACTGAAAAACAATTACCAAAAATACCAACAGCAACAACAACTGTTGCACAAGTCGGTGGAGAACTGCAAAAAGTAGTAAAACAGCAAAAGTATAAAATATCACAACATCCTGGTAGTAATACAATTGAGATAACACCCACCACCAGTTTTACCCAACAGATAATGCAACAAGTACAGCAACAACAGCAGCTGAAACAAAAGTTAAATCAACAGCAAAATCCGGTGGAACCCAATACATTAACCACACAACTAGGTGGTATAACAGTACAGCGTATAACAACTAAATTAAATTCCACAGCAACAACGACAACAACAACAAATACAGGAAATTTTGCTAAAGATCATGTTAGACATTCCACTAGACAAGCCACCATAACGCCGTTAAATCAACAAACTCAACAGCAACAACAACAACAACAGACAGTTACAACTTTACCTAAACTACCCATGTTAAATAAACAAAATATAACCATAAGTCGCATAACACCACAACAACAACAACAACAGCAGCAGCAGACAAAACCTCAAAATGTTACGCCGCCGCAAAAATCACAAATTGGTAACACTACATTAAAAGTTGTGGCGCAACAAACCAAATCACAACTTTCAACACCCACTCTGCAAATAACAACGTCAACAGCACAACAACAAAAGCAACAAACATTACCCACTAGAACTATAACACAACAACAAGCTGTAAAAACCAACTCCCAGCAACAGCAGCCTCAGATTATATCCAATATACCCAATACTACACTAAGAATCTCTCCAGTCAAGAAATTTATTAAAAAAACACCTGCAAAACCCAATCCCATGGAAACTAGTCACAACACCAACATCACGACATTAACTACAAATCAGCAACACACGCCGCAGCAAACTACCAATAACTTAAACTCTCAAAATAACACTGCAACGACTACGACCATAACAACAACAACAGGATCTCCCACAACACAAGTACATTATGTCACTGATATAACATCCATACTTCCATCAGCAACAACAAATGAAAATAACACACCATCATCTACAATCAATAATATACCAACAATATCAACACAAACTATTACAGACACCACTACTAACAACTCAACAAACTCGTCTAACTCTGAGCAGGCTAATAAAAACAGTTTAGAATGCAGCCAATGTGGCCGGGTATTTAAGAAAAAGGAACATCTTACACAACATGTTAAATTGCATTCCGGCATTAGACCCTTTAAATGTAGCGAAGAGGGCTGTACGAAAGCATTTCATCGTAAGGAACATTTGTTGCGTCATATAGTTTCGCATACGGGCAAGAAAATGTTTAGTTGTGATATTTGTCAGAAACCATTTTCACGAAAGGATAATTTAAGTAAACACCGGAAGTGAGTATTAAAATCTTTTATTTTTGTTAAAAACTAGACTGTAGAAAAGTAATTAGAGAAAAGTTTCATGCCAAGGTTTCCCATTGGATACTAGACGAAAAGTTTTCTTAAAAAAGTTTTTTATAGGAAACTCGTCGAATAGTTTTCTATAAAAAACTGGTTTCTATATGAATACAAATACTTGTCGAAACTTTTTCAATAACAAATTTGTCGCACATTTTCTATTGTCAAGCAATTTTCTATAAGAAAACTCGTATAACAATTCTAAAAAAAACTTGTCAAACTGTTATCTATAAGAAAACTTTACGAATAGTTTTCTATAAGAACACTTATCAAACAATGTCGAAAACGTTTCTATAAGAAAACCTGTCGAAAACTTTTCTATAAGAAAATTTCTTGAACTGTTTTCTACAAGAAAATTTCTCAAACATTTTTCAATAAGAATACTTGAAGAACAGCTTTCTATAAGAAAACTTGTAGAACAGTTTGCTATAAGAAAATTTGTCGAACATTTTTCTATAAGAAAACTTGTAAAACAGTTTTCTATAAGGAAACTTGTAGTACAGTTTTCTATAGGAAAACTTGTAGAACAGTTTTCTATAGGAAAACTTGTAGAACAGTTTTCTACAGGAAAACTTGTAGAACAGTTTTCTATAAGAAAAGTTGTAGAACAGATTTCTATAAGAAAACCTGTAGGACAGTTTTCTATAAGAAAACTTGTAGAACAGTTTTCTATAAGATAACTTGTAGAACAGTTTATACAACAATTTTCAATAGGAAAACTCTTATAACAATTTTCTATAAGAAAACTCTTATACAGTCTTATACTCTTATAAGAACGTTTCTATAAAAAATCTGGTCAAAAAGTTTTCTAAAAAAAATTTTGTCCGAATTTTCTTATAAAGTACAACTCGTCGAATACTTTTCTAAAATAACATTTTTCTAAAAAAACTCGTCGAAAACTTTTTTTATTAATTCATGGAATGTTTTCAGCGAAAAATTTGTCTTAAAGTTTTATATAGAAAAAGTTGTCAAAAAAGATTTTTATAAAAAATCCCTGAAAAAATTTACAAAACTAAAAAAACTCGTTGAAAAAGGTGTTTTTATAAAAAAACTTTTCGAAAAGAAGTTTGTAGTCGAAAAACTCTTATACAGTGTTCTATAAGAACGTTTTCTATAGACCTTTTCAAAAAATTTTTTTAAAATAAAAATTTGTCCGAATTTCTAAAATAAAACTCGTCGAAAACATTTCTAATAGAAATCTCATCTAAAAAAGGTTTTCAAAAAATTTGTCTAAAAATTGTATATAAAAAAAAGTTGTCGATGTTTTTTATTTTAAATTTTTAAATGTTTTTTTTTTAAATTTCGTCGAAAAAAGTATTTTTTATAAAAAAACTTTTCGAAAAAAATTGTTTTATACAAACATTGTTTATAGAAAATAGTCAAAAAAAAAAAAAAAAAACTTTTTATTTATTGCAAACTTGTTGAAAAAAATGTTTAAATAAAAAACTCGTCGAAAAAATATTTGAATTAAAAACTTTTTGAAAAAATTTGTATAAAAAAGTTTTCAACATGAAAAACGTTTCTACTAAAAATCTAACGAAAACTCTTTAAAAAATGTTTGAATTGAAAACTCGTCGAAAAAAGTTAGTTTTGAAAAAGATTCAAACAATTTCGTTGAAAAGCATATCGAAAAAGTTTTCTACATGAAAAAAATAAAAAACAAATTATTATTGCAAAACTTGTTAAAAACTCGTCGAAAAAGGTTTTATTAAACCTAGAAAAACCTGGTCGAAAAGTTTTTCTATAGAAAATATATCGAAAACTTTGTCTATAAACATGTTAAAAAAAATAAAAAAAAATATTTATTTAAAACTCGTCGATAAAAAATTATAAAAAAATCTTGTCGAATTTTTTTTTTAAGGAAACATCTCGTTTAAAAACTTGTCGAAAAACGTCTTTTTGAAAACTCATCGTCAAATATTTGTATGGAAAACTCGTCGAAAAAAGTTTTGTTACAAAAATATGTTCTATAGAAAAAAGTTTTTATAGAAAATTCTCCAAAATAAAATGATCATCGAAAGAATTTGTTGCCCAAAAGATTTCTAGAGAAAAAACGTGACAATAACTCTGTTTATAAAACACTTTTCAAAACTCGTCGAAAAAAACTTCAATGTCTTAAAAATATACAATAACTTTATTACTTTAAAAAATTTCATTCTAGAATTCATACGGATCCCAATCCCAATCATTATGTGTGTGAATTTTGTAGTAAAGTTTTCGCTGTTAAAGCTTATTATGATCAACATAAACTATTGCATCAAACTAAAGCTATAAACGAAGAGGTAAATTGTATGAAAAATCAAAAAAATAAATCAAATTATAAATATTAATCTATTTTATTATTATTTTATTTAAAGGATATTGAGACTGTAAACGAAACAACTGCAACAACAAAAGAAACAAATCAAAATTCTGATAATAATAGTAGCAATAACAATGACAACAATACGAATCAAATAGAATATCAAACAGCAACACAGCAACAGCAAAAAACAACAAAATCAACACAACAAATTATACAACAGGAGCAGCAGCAGCAGCAACAAACTCAACAACGACAGGAATTACAAATGGTACAACAACAGCTACAGCAATTACAACGTCAAAATCAAAATTCCAATCAAACACAAGCCCAGCAAATAATGCATCTTCAACTACCCACCTCTATTGTCACCACCCAAGATATGGCCGGCAATACAATAACCATAACACAAGCAAATGATCCTCAAGCAAATGCTTTAAAAACTCTAACACTTAGTGGTAATACCGGCGGTATTACAAACTCTACTGGTGGCAATCATCATGATGCCACTGTATTAAATTTACCCACATCTTTAGCAAGTTTCGTCCAATTATCTCAAGCACAATTTGTAAATGCAACTACTGGTCAAATAATGGGTCATCTTAAAATTGAAAAATGATCATCAGTAATGTATAAAAATGCTTAATGTGAGCAGCAACAACAACAATAACACACCTTACATATATGTATTATAAATATTTCATTCAAATGGATGATGTAGAACGTGTACTTTTTGTTTGTCTGTAAGTTGTAATTTTTTATATTTATTTATTATTTTTTTTTAAATATTTTTTTGCATGCCCAATTTGTAGATTTTAGTAATAGGTTGTAGATTGTTTAAAAAAAATCATAAATTTTAAGTGCAAAACACAAAATATTTTTGTAGATTTAACACATTTTGTAAACGTTTTGTTTTTGTATAATTGTTTTCTAAATTTTATTGATATTATTATTATTTATTTGTAAATATTTTTACAATATTATATGTACACATGTGTTGTATATCAACAGCCATAATGTTCCAGTGTTTAATAAGAAATCTAATCGATGATTTCTTACAAAAATATTTAAAATTCAATTTACGTGTGTTTCTTTTAGTGTGTCTGTGTTTTTATCTCAATTTATGTTTTTATGAAAACTATGTTTATTGTTTCATTTCAAAATGTATGTATCATTTTATTGACACGACTGACCTGCTATTATAGTTTTTATTTTGGAAAAATGTATACATTATTGTAACATCTTCAATAAATTTTGTGAGCAAGGAAATTAAAATATACATTTTTTTACGTATTAAAACTAGTCATTTTTTCGAGCGTAATTTAATAATTTTTTAGCTTTCGACTTCGTTTTTATACCCTTCTCCTTAGTAGGCCGTGTTGGCCTTATTTCACGGTGGTCATTTTCAATCACTGGGTGAGCTTATTTGACGATTGCACCGCCCCTTTGTGCAATTTTGTACATGGTTGCACTGGTCCATGTACAAGCACTTTGCTCAAGTACTCGAGCTTTCCAATCTCTTGTCATAATAGCCCCATTGAGGAATGAAAGATATCATGAGTCAAGCTCAATCAAAGCCTGACATAGGAAAAGGCAATCACTCAGGTGAAAACACCCTATTGATGTTATAAGGAACGCTATGTCCCTACAAACATTCTCATCATCTAAAGACTCAACCCAGTGCATTCCTGGTCCTCTTAAAGTAGCCCAACCACACTACTGATTCTGTTCTTTTGGCAACAGCACCTAAGGACGTAATAGGTGGTTCGAAAACACAGATCTATATTTAATTAATCAGACTTATTTCAGTGGCCACAAGGACCTACTGTGATAAGTTGAGCAGGTTTTAGATTAAACTCCAAGACAGTCAATCATTAAGGAAAATCGCCGATAAATTAAAGATTAAGGTATTATACAACTCCTCCAATGTCTCAACCAACTCCACCGCCACTTCAACCGTCACTCTATCCGTCATTCCGACATTTCAAAGATATAACTCATAATCAATCTCATCCAACAGATACAAGATTAAGCCATGTCCTTCTGTCGTTCTATCTGTCTGTCTGTCCGTCTGTCTGATGATAACAATTTTCTGAAGACCCTAGATATCTTTGGGATCTACATCTTCAATAATTTTATCTGACATACTTTCGAGAAGTTGCCTATCAGTAAAATCGGTCTATAAATGTCAGAGATATGAGCAATAATACGATACAATCTCCGAAAATTTCGTCAAAAAATTTGTATTATTTGCATGCAGACGCATGAAAACAACAACAACGTTCAGATTATGCTTGTTGTGAGTACGTTTTCTTTGCTTGTTTATAATAAACAGTAAACCACTGGAAACAACAACAACGTTCCCTTAGGTCTGCTCGTCTATAAAGATTCCTCTAATAATTGACCCATATCATCAAAAATACAGAATTATAATAAATTTAGATTATACACAGGATTATATAGTTCGTTAAAATAAATTGATACAAATTTCCCACAGAAAAACAAACAATATTGAAGGTTCTTAGTGATAACCTTCAGTAAAAACTGGAGGTTAGGTAAGGTTGATACAATGATGTATGTATACTGCATCAAATCTAAAGAAATACACCTAGACTAATATCGGTTGTGATTGTGCGCTCATTAACATAAAAAAATTTTGGTGTTTTATGAAAGTATTATCGTCCGATGTTCAGAAACTCAGTTTCCTTCAAGTAATTCCTAAGAATTTTCCAATCAGTATTCGTAAGAGATGTTATGTCCGGAATAATATCTCACTCAAGATATGTGTATATAATTTTGAATGGAAATTAGCTAAAAAAGAAAAGGATCAAAAAAAAAAAAGAAACATAAAACTCAAAAACTGTAATATGCAAAGGACCAAGGGCTATTATAGATAAAATAATATTTAAATCTGGAAGCAAAAGGCAGATGATATAGTAATTGTCATCAAAGACTACTATTTGAAAAAAAAAAAAAACTACCAATTTCCTATTCAAATCAGTTTACGAAGATTACATGCAGTAATTCTCCTTTAATCGCAATTTTATCGCCTCTAGGTCTTCAATAATTTGCAGTGTGACCAGTTCACTATATACTAGGGTGATCGATTATTCGACATTTTCCAAAAACCGGTTTTCGAATAGTTCGAATAGTTGACATTAAAAAAAAACCGGTTGATATTTTTCAAATACAGGAAAAACCGGTTAACCGGTTTTTCATTATAAATAAAAAAAATATATTTTAATTTGAAAAACTTAATGTTTATGTTTAAATTTGATTAATAAAACATGGCCCGAAATGATTTTTAACAGTTTAAAAGATTATAACTTTAGATCTAGTCGTCTGATTTACATTATTTCTTTAATATAAAAAAAATTCGGAAAAAAGTGGGACACTTCTGTTAAACATAAGGTACTATGTAATCCTAGCTTATTTTAAAAGCCCTGTTTAGGAAATTTGCATAGGCATTCCAACACTTCCATAAAATTTCAGCCGTAAATTAATTATTGTAATTGGAATATAATCTTAAGATTGATAAAATTTTATCAAACAGTTATCAATTTTACAAATAATTTTTTTTAATTAATTAGGTAAATCAAAAAAGTTTATCCAAAGGAGCTGTAGAAAAATATACGCTAGTTCCTCGACTCGAATATTTTTAAAATTTAGAAGGGCTGTATTATTATTTACTTAAAAATTTCATTTAAATAATCTTTGAATACAAAGCAAATAAAAGTATTCGGAACCGGTTTTTAAAAAGTGAAAAAACCGGGTTATTCGATATTCGAAAAATCAACATTAAGAAAAAGCCGACACTGGTAAAGCAGAAAAAACCGGTTTTAAAACCGGTTGAAAAATCGAGTCGATCACCCTACTATATACCAATGAAAACTCTAATTGTGCAGTGACCAGTTAATACTCTTATCAAAGCCTTCAGAGTAATTCTTCTATTCATTCTAATAAGTATAACTTTTGACTTTGCATCAAGTCTTGACACATAAGGTCTTGAAACATCTTGCAATCCATAGCTGCTGTACGAGGATTGGTTGATAGTGGCAGTGACCAGTTAATACTCCTATCAAAGCCTTCAGAGTAATTCTTCTATTCATTCTAATAAGTATAACTTTTGACTTTGCATCAAGTCTTGAAACATCTTGCAATCCATAGCTGCTGTACCAGAATTGGTTGATAGTGTCATGGAATCTGCCAGACATCATCCTATACGTTACAAGTTCGTCTACTACATCCTTGTCCTGCAAATTGCAAAGTCTCGGTACTCAATACTGTATTATTCATACCTATTCTGCATTTCGATTACGTTTACGCATTCAGTTACGCAACGATCGTAAGAAAAAGAAGAAGCAATTCCATTTCGTTTCAATGCTTTACGATTGTGTGTATTTTACATTACGATCGTAGCTATGTTTTTGTAAAGTTATTGTTTATGTGGCGGAGAATCGAATCGAAATGCAGTATTCTGCAAAGTTGACAAACGGACACAATTTCGATTCGAATTGAAATGCAGAATAGGGGTGATTGTAAACAATAACAAGCATATTTTGAAATAGTACTAACTTTACAAAAAATAGTACTTTTTTGTATAGATTTATGGACTAGTTTTGGAATTTTATTGACTAATCGACGGTCTGTTATAAGGACTAGTTTTGAATTAACTAGTTTATTGACTAATCTATGTGTTAGATTATTAACAGTATCTAGACCAGTCTATGGACTACTCTATTTACTTGTCTATGGATTAGTCTAATGACTAGGCTATGAACTATTCTTTGTCTAGTCTGTTGTCTACTTTATAGACTATCCTACTCTATTATTTAGGCTGTGGGTAAGTCTAATTGAGCAGTCTAAGTACTAGTCTATGTGCTAGTGTTTTTGTAATATCCCCTGCTAAAGTTAAACATTTTCAAGGCCTCCCACCAGAGGATCCAGGTATAAGTAAGAATATGCTTTATAAATGAACAATAAATACAATTTATCATGAATAAAAAGTTCACGGAACATTTTTTTTAAGAAATGTTTTTAATTTTCCAAAAACAAGTTCTAATTTTCGTTAGTTTTGTTGTATTGTATACATTTTTCGTTCGTTTTAGAAAAACTTTAACGTTTCAATCTCAGTTTTTAAAAAAAGACATTATGATTTCAGTTTTGTATATTTTTTATATATATTTTTTGTTAATTTTGTTTAAAAAAATAACTAAATTATAAATTTAATTAATTAATTATATAGATTATATATAAATAAAACATACAATTATTTAGGTTAATTAAAGTATTTAATACTTTTTAAATTGTTTTAAATTCTGAATTAAAAATTAAAAGAACGAATAACTTAAAAATTAGGCACTTTATCAAAAAAAGCTGTATGAAAAACACATTTTTTTATAAAATATACAATTAATTAAGTAAATATAATATTTATAATAATTAAATAATAAACATTTTATAATTTTACAACTTGCAATGCAATTTTTTGTTTTCTTTTATTATTATTTTTAACAATAATTTAAAATTATAAAACGAATGACTAAAATCTTACTATTGATGAATTTGATATTCGTCTTTTTTAGGTTTTACTGTATAAATCTGTAAAAAAATATATAAATTAAATATATATTTTTAAAATACTTGCCATTTTCTATAAAGTATTTATAAGATATCACGTATAATCTAATAATATTTAGTTATTTATAGCGATACCATGATTTTAAAAGATATTAATGTATAAATTAATAAAAAGTAAAATACAACTAATAAATAGTTGCAAAAGCAATAAAATATAAACAAACAAATTTTTAAATATTTATTTTAGTGTGAGTGTTTTCTAACAACAAACTGATGTGATTTATAAACAAACAAAACTAGGTTATGTTATTTAAAAAGAAATATTTTTCTAAATATTTTAAAACAAAATCAAAGATCTATAGATCGTGACCAGAGTACAGAGTCACAGTCGGTTTTGTATCGTAGTATATTAAGACAATACAACGTTACAATGCTACAACACCGATTGTGAATTGTCTAAATGCTTTATATTTCATTTTTATAAGGATTCTGCCATGAATTTTGTGAATTCAAAACAAATTCTGAAAAACAATTGAAATAATAAATAAATTTTATTCAATTTAAAACGAAATTCTATCACATGGCAAAAAACAAAATGTTCTCCCACCAAGTGAAATTTTCTTTATTATTTCTTTTATTAATCATCTGTCAGGTATGTGATTTGTTTAGAAATTTTCTATTAAAATTAAGTAATAATTCTTAATACTTCAAATTTCCAGATTCGTTATTTTTTTGCAATGATTCAGCAGTAATCTATTTCAAAAGAAAAAAAAGTGGCGTCAAAAAAATTACCAAACATTTTTAAATATCTATGATGTCTTAATACACAAAAAACCAATTAATATTCTTCCATTTCATTCGAATATTATTGAACGTGTTAACTGAAGCAGACATTAAGGCAACAACATTAAGATATGCGTGTAAAATTTTTGGAATGATTTATTATTATTCATGGGAGTAATTTTGTCATATAACATTTTGCATTACTTCTTTCACCTAGTCGTATATTGTTGCTAAAAGTTTTAACATTATTTTATTTCACCGCCTTTGTGGAAAGGCTTTGTATATATAATTTTGTCATTTCGTTTGTAATTTTTGCAATTTAATTTCGCCACTCTATATAACATACGGATTCTATTCAGTGAAGTTCTTTTTGCTATGTCCCTAAGTTTCGTTCCCACAACAATGGGTCTTCGCTACGGAAAGATCCAAGTATTACTCAGACAAAGATTCTTCACTCAGCGACAGTTGTATCAATCGGAAAACGAAATATACCTTTAGTATATAGCATTTACATTTTCCACGATAATTAGACCTTCGCTTCGGAATGATTCAAGTATTACTCAGACAAAGATTGTTCACTCAGGGACAGCTGTATAGCCGAACATTTTTTTCCAGAAAGGAAGTATCGGCCGCAGTCTAACTGTTACAACAAAAGCTCACTGGCGGAAGTTCGTCCTTCCACGCAATGTATAAAATGAATTGGATTGAATATGGTACTAACAGAGGTTAATATATATATTGCGATATACAGCCAGACATAAGTTAATTACGTCGATATCATGATAATGTTATTTCTAAGACCCTACTGGACTATAAGAATAACCGAATAGTCTTGATGAGCTCTGCATTATATGGGCATCAGGACACTAGGGGATAATAATGCTATTATCACCGCTATAAAGTGAAGGGAGCTTAATGAAGTTCTTATGACGAAGAGTGACAAAACGACGGCAGAATTAGGAACTAGGGCGAGGAAATCACACGCGGTTACTTGGAATAATAGAGCGGTGGGAAGGACCAGTGGAACCATATGAGGTGACCCTACGTTAGCAGAAGGGGAACGTTCTCGGAATAAATGAAACCGTGGTTAGTATGAGGGTATTACGGATTCACCGTATATTGAGCATGCGGAGAGCACAATGAAACACTGGAACATTTTCACTGTTATTGACAGGCGTTTGTCGGACCAAATAGGATGGGTGTTATTCCACATATTACATTCCTCAGGAATACTAATTGAAAAATTAAATGTAAATGCGTCCAGGAAGCCCAGTTTATATTTTTTTTGCCAACAACTGTATTCAAAATACGATCGCATAAACAGCAACCCATAATGCAGTTCCTGTTTCTTGTGTGCAGCTATGGATGAGTGTTGGTAAGTCTATAGATTTCGGGAACGCGTGGGGAACAAAGAACTAACTATACTAACTAAAAACGAACGAACTAACAACGAACGAACGACGAAGAACGAAAGAACTAACGAACTAACTAACTAAAGAACTAACTAACGACGAACGAACTAACGAACTAAAGAAACTAACTAACTAACTAAAATAACTAAATAAACTAACTAACTAACTAACTAACTAACTAACTAACTAACTAACTAACTAAATAAAAACTAACTAACAAACTACTAACTAAACTAACTAACTAACTAACTAACTAACTAACGAAACTAACTAAAATAACTAACTAACTAACTAAACTAACTAACTAACTAACTAACTAAACTAACTAAACTAACTAATAAATAACAACTAACTAAATAACTAACTACTAATAACAACTAAACTAACTAACTAACTAAACTAACTACTAACTACTACTAAACTAACTAACTAAAACTAACTAACTAAAATACAACTAACTAACTAACTAAACTAACTAACTAACTAAAACTAACTAACTAAAATAACTAACAAAAAATAACTAAAATAACTAACTAACTAACTAACTAACTAACTAAACTATAACTAATAACTAACTAACTAATAACTAACTAACTAACTAACTAATAAAAACTAACTAACGAACGAAACGAAGAACGAACGAACGAACGAACGAACTATCAAAGACTACTACGGTGGACAATGCTTCGAAGTGTACAGCTTCCCATTGGCACTACCATAGAAGGATGTCCTTGGGAAAAGCTCTAAGCTTCCTCTGTCTTTAAATTAAGTTGAGGACTCTCACTCTGAATCCTCAGATGATAATAACAACACCATTATAGCAAATCCCAAAAAGGATGAAGCAGAGCAAAAGCCAAAGTTAAACTACCTATTACTAAGAAAAGTCTTTCTGAAGCACAGAGGAGGAAATTGATAAATATCCTTCAGAAAATCATAGTTAGTCAAACCTACGACACTCCAAAGAAAAAATCGGACACTCTCACAAGATCTGAGGCAAAGAGGATCAAGTCTCCCGAGGAGTTGACAAGAATAAACCTAAGAAGAAAAGGGGTCCCCCGTCTTCTAATACACAGTCGAACCAGATATTCCGAAGACGATCACGTCGGTTGTTTTAAGTCTAAAAGCGCCTGTTCAAGATATAACTAGTCATAAAATCTATATTAATCAGTTATTTGGGTAATGTCAGCCTAGATATGTGTCCGCCTGACTTTGAATTTATTTTTAAATATTGATTGTTGTAAGGTTCAAAAACCTTTTTCGTTCAATATATTTTTTAATTCACAGAATTGTTGTTATTGAATGCTATTTTGATACCCACTTACCTATTAAATGTTTTCATTAAATCAATAAAAAATTAAATAAGACATAACAATAACAGTTAACAAATAAACATTTTATTAAATTTTTTTTTAATAAAAAAGGCAATTAAGAATTAGAATAAATAAGCAATATAAATTTAACTTAAACAAAACTTTTTTAAATTATTAAAATTAATAGTTGTATTAATTAATAAAAAATGTTGATGCGAACAATTTTGAAAAAAGCAAATAAATTAAAGAATATGATTTCAATGACTTTAAACCTTGGATTAGTATAAAAATGATGTGGAAAATGTGCGACTGATAGGTGGAACTACTAGTGTAAAGTGCTCTCATAACGATGAAATGCTTTCAAGGACTTAACAGAACAATTTGAACAGGCACAAACTTGTTTGGGGATGTTGTAATGGGGGTTTTATTGTTTGCATTTTGAAATGAGATTTAAAACTAATAATACAATTTGTGTTAAAATGTTTGTAAAAAATTATAATTGTGAGCTTTTTTTAAGGAAAACTTAAATTAATTAAAGTAAATAATAATTAAGTCTTTGGCATAATTAAAGAAACTTTAATTATCTATCTACTTACAATAAAAGTAAATAATTAATATGTTAACTTTTGCATTAATATAAACCAAGCTTAAACTTGTAAAACAAAACTGAGTTTTGCGCTTCTGTCACCCCTACACAAGGCATTTAAGGACATAACAATGGTGCTAACGAGTAACGAATTGTTTGTGTGTGCAAATGCTGCTTAGGGAGGGCCAATAAAAAGCATTATTTTGAATAGTTTTGTTTTTGTGAGGTGTCAGGGTGAACGGAAGAAAGGAAGACATTTGTTTTCACAAACTGTATTATAAAAAAAGAAAATAAAACGAGATACAAAATTAAAGCATTAATACTGCATTTGTTTAAAAAGTCAAAGGATTCTAATATGAAACCTTTAACGGGAAAATTATATATAAAAATAAAACTACTAACTTTTTTCTTTTAGCTTTTCAATCCATTTTGAATTTAGAGATTTTCATTCCAAGTTAGATTTCCAAAACGTATTTTTTTCATGTGTGTGTGTTTATTAACAATTTTCTACGCATATTTAAAGGTAATTTCAGAAATTTTCTTAACATCACCCCAAACTTGTAAGGATTTTATATCATTTATATTTAATTCTGTATCATATGTTGTAATACGATTTGGCGTATTCTCATAGATTTTATAAACATCAATGTAACCGTCTTGGAATGCAAATTCTAATTCGAATATTGTACCTAAAACAGAATAATTTAGAATTGAATTGTTAGTATAGAGGGGATGAGAGCTGAATGAATTTTTACTATGAAACACACCATCGAGTTGATCGAACATTTTCTCTTTATGATCGATCCATTCGCCATTCTCTTTGTAGTTTTCAACAATAACATTTTCATCTAAAATCCATTTGAAATGGTATGTTATAAATGCAGGATTCCGACATAATTCATTAACGAAATTTATGGAAAATCTGAAATGATAAAAATAATGAAAAATTTGTTTAAGTAAACAAGTATAGTGGGTTATGCTTGGACTTATAATACTCTATACCAGCAATGTGTAAATTTAAAGAGATTTTCAGAAACTGGCACTATACGTATTCAGTTTTTTGTATATTGTGGACTCAAATATCTTTAACGCAGCTAAGAATGATAGTTCTAGCTCACATTTGGATCAGGGGCAGTGTTGCCAATTTGACGTTTTCCCTTACAAATCTGACGTTTTTGAAAATGCGTTTTAGCGGTTAAACTAGTCTATAGTCTAGTTTATAGTCTAGTTTATAGTCTAGTCTATAGTCTAGTCTATAGTCTAGTCTATAGTCTAGTCTATAGTCTAGTCTATAGTCTAGTCTATAGTCTAGTCTATAGTCTAGTCTATAGTCTAGTCTAGTCTATAGTCTAGTCTAGTCTATAGTCTATAGTTAGTCTGTCTATTCTATTCTAGTCTAGTCTAGTCTAGTCTAGTCTAGTCTAGTCTAGTCTAGTCTAGTCTAGTCTAGTCTAGTCTAGTCTATAGTCTAGTCTAGTCTAGTCTAGTCTAGTCTAGTCTAGTCTAGTCTAGTCTAGTCTAGTCTAGTCTAGTCTAGTCTAGTCTAGTCTAGTCTAGTCTAGTCTAGTCTAGTCTAGTCTAGTCTAGTCTATAGTCTAGTCTAGTCTAGTCTATAGTCTAGTCTAGTCTATAGTCTAGTCTATAGTCTAGTTCTATAGTCTAGTCTATAGTCTAGTCTATAGTCTAGTCTATAGTCTAGTCTATAGTCTAGTCTATAGTCTAGTCTATAGTCTAGTCTATAGTCTAGTCTATAGTCTAGTCTATAGTCTAGTCTATAGTCTAGTCTACAGTCTAGTCTATAGTCTAGTCTATAGTCAAGTCTATAGTCTAGTCTATAGTCTAGTCTATAGTCAAGTCTATAGTCTAGTCTATAGTCTAGTCTATAGTCTAGTCTATAGTCTAGTCTATAGTCTAGTCTATAGTCTAGTCTATAGTCTAGTCTATAGTCTAGTCTATAGTCTAGTCTATAGTCTAGTCTATAGTCTAGTCTATAGTCTAGTCTATAGTCTAGTCTATAGTCTAGTCTATAGTCTAGTCTATAGTCTAGTCTATAGTCTAGTCTATAGTCTAGTCTATAGTCTAGTCTATAGTCTAGTCTATAGTCTAGTCTATAGTCTAGTCTATAGTCTAGTCTATAGTCTAGTCTATAGTCTAGTCTATAGTCTAGTCTATAGTCTAGTCTATAGTCTAGTCTATAGTCTAGTCTATAGTCTAGTCTATAGTCTAGTCTATAGTCTAGTCTATAGTCTAGTCTATAGTCTAGTCTATAGTCTAGTCTATAGTCTAGTCTATAGTCTAGTCTCTCTAGTCTGTAGTCTAGTCTATAGTCTAGTCTATAGTCTAGTCTATAGTCTAGTCTATAGTCTAGTCTATAGTCTAGTCTATAATCTAGTCTATAGTCTAGTCTATAGTCTAGGTCCTATAGTCTAGTCTATAGTCTAGTCTATAGTCTAGTCTATAGTCTAGTCTATAGTCTAGTCTATAGTCTAGTCTATAGTCTAGTCTATAGTCTAGTCTATAGTCTAGTCTATAGTCTAGTCTATAGTCTAGTCTATAGTCTAGTCTATAGTCTAGTCTATAGTCTAGTCTATAGTCTAGTCTATAGTCTAGTCTATAGTCTAGTCTATGTCTAGTCTATAGTCTAGTCTATAGTCTAGTCCTATAGTCTAGTCTATAGTCTAGTTATAGTCTAGTCTATAGTCTAGTCTATAGTCTAGTCTATAGTCTAGTCTATAGTCTAGTCTATAGTCTAGTCTATAGTCTAGTCTATAGTCTAGTCTATAGTCTAGTCTATAGTCTAGTCTATAGTCTAGTCTATAGTCTAGTCTATAGTCTAGTCTATAGTCTAGTCTATAGTCTAGTCTATAGTCTAGTCTATAGTCTAGTCTATAGTCTAGTCTATAGTCTAGTCTTATCTAGTCTATAGTCTAGTCTATAGTCTAGTCTATAGTCTAGTCTATAGTCTAGTCTATAGTCTAGTCTATAGTCTAGTCATAGTCTACTCTATAGTCTACTCTATAGTCTAGTCTATAGTCTAGTCTATAGTCTAGTCTATAGTCTAGTCTATAGTCTAGTCTATAGTCTAGTCTATAGTCTAGTCTATAGTCTAGTCTATAGTCTAGTCTATAGTCTAGTATAGTCTATAGTCTAGTTTATAGTCTAGTCTATAGTCTAGTCTATAGTCTATAGTTTATAGTCTAGTCTATAGTCTAGTCTATAGTCTAGTCTATAGTCTAGTCTATAGTCTAGTCTATAGTCTAGTCTATAGTCTAGTCTATAGTCTAGTCTATAGTCTAGTCTATAGTCTAGTCTATAGTCTAGTCTATAGTCTAGTCTATAGTCTAGTCTATAGTCTAGTCTATAGTCTAGTCTATAGTCTAGTCTATAATCTAGTCTATAGTCTAGTCTATAATCTAGTCTGTAGTCTAGTCTATAGTCTAGTCTATAATCTAGTCTCTAGTCTAGTCTATAGTCTAGTCTATAGTCTAGTCTATAGTCTAGTCTATAGTCTAGTCTATAGTCTAGTCTATAGTCTAGTCTATAGTCTAGTCTATAGTCTAGTCTATAGTCTAGTCTAGTCTAGTCTATAGTCTAGTCTATAGTCTAGTCTATAGTCTAGTCTATAGTCTAGTCTATAGTCTAGTCTATAGTCTAGTCTATAGTCTAGTTTATTGTCTAGTATATAGTCTAGTCTATAGTCTAGTCTATAGTCTAGTCTATAGTCTAGTCTATAGTCTAGTCTATAGTCTAGTCTATAGTCTAGTCTATAGTCTAGTCTATAGTCTAGTCTATAGTCTAGTCTATAGTCTAGTCTATAGTCTAGTCTATAGTCTAGTCTATAGTCTAGTCTATAGTCTAGTCTATAGTCTAGTCTATAGTCTAGTCTATAGTCTAGTCTATAGTCTAGTATATAGTCTAGTCTATAGTCTAGTCTATATCTAGTCTATAGTCTAGTCTATAGTCTAGTCTATGGTGTAGTCTGTAGTCTAGTCTATATCTTGTCTATAGTCTAGTCTATGGTGTAGTCTATAGTCTAGTCTATAGTCTAGTCTATGGTGTAGTCTATAGACTAGTCTAGTCTATAGTCTATTCTATAGTCTAGTCTATAGTCTAGTCTATAGTCTGGTCTATAGTATAGTCTGTAGACTATATATATAGACTAGTCTAGTCTATAGTCTAGTCTATAGTCTAGTCTATAGTCTAGTCTATAGTCTAGTCTATAGTCTGGTCTGTAGCCTAGTCGATAATGTGGTCTTTAGTCTAGTGTATGGTCCAGTCTATAGTCTAATCTATAGTCCGGACCACTTTCGGTAGCCTATTCTATAGTCGATATTCAATAAGGGGATTCATGAAATATGTACTTGTACGAACTTGCACATTTGTATTATTTAGAAGAGAACATTTATTGATCAGTTCAAATAGGTGATCAAAGGTATCAGTGTTGTGAAAGTAAAATCCCCTACAATTTGTGACAAATTCAATGTAAAATACAATTTGATTTTTTATGGAAATCTTGCATAAAGTATTGCAGCACATGATCCATTTAGGTAATCCTATGATCCGTTAGGTAGTATATGTAATACAGGCATTACCATGTTGCGGATTGTGTACTCCCTTAAATTTATCTAGGGTATAGTTTTGCGATTAATCTGATGTTATGCATATACGTTTTAGGTGGTCCTAACCTAGAAAATCAAGCAAATAGTGCATTGTTTATATCGGGCCCACTCCTTAAGCTAACAATGACACCCATGAATATTTTTATAAAATCAACAACAAAATCAGCTTGTTAAATATCAATTTAAGTCGAATAATACGTAAATATGTCAGTGTTATAATCATTCATACTGTTTGTTTAGTTTGGCAAACTAAATACTACTACATACTACTTTGTTATTTAAATAATTATTTATTTTAAACTACAATTTGTTTAAACAATAAATTAAGATTTCATTGTGAAACAAAATCGAATTCTTCACAACACTAGACACTAAATTATTCCAGCATAAATATTTAAATATTTGAAATACCTAAACATATGATTAATTGAATGTCACAACTAATACCGGTATAAAAAATAAAAATAATTCCATTAAGAAGCCGGCAATTCAAGCACGCTTTTTGATAATAAAAAATCCGGTTTTAAAACGTGGTCAATGATTTAAACAATTTTCGATAAAAAAAGAGAAAAGCTAATTTTAAACAAGTAATGACTATTTTTAGCTGTCAAAAAATAAAAACAGTAAAAACCCACAAAAAAAAAATGTTGTCATATGTTGACAGATAAACAGACACCTGTTGGTTAAAGTTCAAAGGGGTTTGTGGTAAAATTGTTTTAATAACTCTATGACTAATATGATTTGAAATGGTACAACATTGAAAATAATTTTACTTTTTAATCGAATTATTAATGGTAATAACATTAAGTTTTAACTAAAGAACTAAAATACAATTATATGGAAAGTAAACGTTTTAAAATCCTATTTATATGAATCATTACCAACAAATAGTTTTATAACTAACTAGCTATACCCAGTGTGCTTTGCTACCCTAAAAGGAATATGTATAAATAAAAATCCCACTTAACGATTTTGAAGGTTCTAACTACAATAGTTTTCCAGATTTATAATATGTTACATATGAGAGATGTCAAGCAAATTATTGCAAGTTCGCCAGTTTCTATCTATCGCCAATTTCTATCTACAGGCAAATCCCGGTATAACGAATCTCACTTTAACGAAAATCCGATATAACGTACACCCAAATTTTTAACATTAACTACCTTATATAGCGAACGTTTAAGAAATTTTATACTCGATATAACAAATAAAAAGAAAAAATACCTAAAAAAATCCAGCTTTTGATTTTATATTTATATTGTTAATATCAAAAACTTGATTGAGCAATTTGAATATAATGTAA